TGCGAGTAGCAGGAATGGGCTGAATCCGGCTGACGACTCGCACCCTTGGCTTGGTACGAGTGGCAGGAATGGGCCGGACTGGGCTGGCGACGTGCACCACAGACCTGGTGCGGAGAGCAGGAACGGGCAGAGCCGGGCTGACGAGACGCACCACAGGCTTGATGCGGAGAGCAGGCACGGGCCGTGCCGGACTGACGACGCACACCACTGGCTTGGTGCGGGAAGCTTGGATGGGCCGGACTGTACTGGGGACACACACCACTGGTCCTACACCGGGATCAGGAACGGGCCGGACCGGACTGGCAACACACGCCAGTACCTCTCGCCGTGCCTCTACTTCCTCCATCCCCTCTTCGACCAGTGGCCCCCGTAACCCGGCGGCCTTCTCCAGCAACCCACTGGGCCGCTCTATCGCGGCCTCCTGCTGGTCCGACGTCGTGAGCCCCCCCCTAAAAATTTTCGGGGCGTCTCTCCTACCCGTGGACCAGGTCTCCATATCCCTCGCCAGCCTCTCGCCCTTCTGCCATAATGTCAAGCCCTTCTCTTCCTCACTCGGCTTGACCCAGTCCAGGAGGCGAAGGAGATCTGTGAGGGATCTCCCTGGCGACGGCTCCTGGACACGCTGCTTGGTCCCATCTTGGTGGGTTTTTCTGTCACGATCGTCTAACAGAGTGGACCAAGGCGCAGCGTTGAAAGTGAACATATCCTTTATTTATACAGATCACACGATCAAAACAATAAACGATAACGTGACGTCTACGGTTTAACACGAACCGAAATGAACAAAAACCCACAACACTAAGGTGAACACTGACAGTTTAAATATGGCTCCCAATCAGAGATAACGAGCCGACAAGCTGACACTCGTTACCACTGATTGGGAAGATACCACGACCAAACAATGAAAAACACAACCAAATACAAACCCAACCACATGGAACACCACCCTGGCTCAAATACACAGTTCCCGGAGCCCAGAGGCGTGACAGAGTCTATATGTTTTGACCATGATAGCTTCCTATCTAGGGTGACACACAGCAGTTAGGTCTTTTCAACTTGCTCAATCGCCACATTATTCAATAATAGATTCAGATGAGGGTTAGGCTTGAGCGAGTGATTTGTCCCAAAAATTATGCTTTTAGTTTTTTAAATATTTAGCACCAGCCTATTGCTAGTTACCCATTCTAAAACTGACTGGAGCTCTATGTTAACAGTGTTAGTTATTTATTTTACTGTTGCAGCCGACGTGTATACTGTTGAGTTGTCAGCGTACATGGACACACAGGCTTTATTCAAGGTCAGTGGAAGGTAATTAGTAAACACAGAAAACAATAATGGTCCAAGCCGGCTGTCCTGCGGTACACCAAACTCAACCAAATTTGCATTAGATAGGCTTCCATTAAATAAAACCCTCTGTGTTCTATTGGATAGGTACAGTGGGGGGAAAAAGTATTTAGTCAGCCACCAATTGTGCAAGTTCTCCCACTTAAAAAGATGAGAGAGGCCTGTCATTTTCATCATAGGTAACTATGACAGACAAAATGAGGAAAGAAAATCCAGAAAATCACATTGTAGGATTTTTGATGAATTTATTTGCAAATTATGGTGGAAAATAAGTATTTGGTCACCTACAAACAAGCAAGATTTCTGGCTCTCACAGACCTGTAACTTCTTCTTTAAGAGGCTCCTCTGTCCTCCATTCGTTACCTGTATTAATGGCACCTGTTTGAACTTGTTATCAGTATAAAAGACACCTGTCCACAACCTCAAACAGTCACACTCCAAACTCCACTATGGCCAAGACCAAAGAGCTGTCAAAGGACACCAGAAACAAAATTGTAGACCTGCACCAGGCTGGGAAGACTGAATCTGCAATAGGTAAGCAGCTTGGTTTGAAGAAATCAACTGCGGGAGCAATTATTAGGAAATGGAAGACATACAAGACCACTGATAATCTCCCTCGATCTGGGGCTCCACGCAAGATCTCACCCCATGGGGTCAAAATGATCACAAGAACGGTGAGCAAAAATCCCAGAACCACACGGGGGGACCTAGTGAATGACCTGCAGAGAGCTGGGACCAAAGTAACAAAGCCTACCATCAGTAACACACTACGCCGCCAGGGACTCAAATCCTGCAGTGCCAGACATGTCCCCTTGCTTAATCCAGTACATGCCCAGGCCCGTCTGAAGTTTGCTAGAGTGCATTTGGATGATCCAGAAGAGGATTGGGAGAATGTCATATGGTCAGATGAAACCAAAATAGAACTTTTTGGTAAAAACTCAACTCGTCGTGTTTGGAGGACAAAGAATGCTGAGTTGCATCCAAAGAACACCATACCTACTGTGAAGCATGGGGGTGGAAACATCATTCTTTGGGGCTGTTTTTCTGCAAAGGGACCAGGACGACTGATCCGTGTAAAGGAAAGAATGAATGGGGCCATGTATCGTGAGATTTTGAGTGAAAACCTCCTTCCATCAGCAAGGGTATTGAAGATTAAACGTGGCTGGGTCTTTCAGCATGACAATGATCCCAAACACACCGCCCGGGCAACGAAGCAGTGGCTTCGTAAGAAGCATTTCAAGGTCCTGGAGTGGCCTAGCCAGTCTCCAGATCTCAACACCATAGAAAATCTTTGGAGGGAGTTGAAAGTCTGTGTTGCCCAGCGACAGCCCCAAAACATCACTGCTCTAGAGGAGATCTGCATGGAGGAATGGGCCAAAATACCAGCAACAGTGTGTGAAAACCTTGTGAAGACTTACAGAAAACGTTTAACCTGTGTCATTGCCAACAAAGGGTATATAACAAAGTATTGAGAAACTTTTGTTATTGACCAAATAATTATTTTCCACCATAATTTGCAAATAAATTCATAAAAAATCCTACAATGTGATTTTCTGGATTTTTTGTCTGTCATAGTTGACATGTACCTATGATGAAAATTACAGGCCTCTCTCATCTTTTTAAGTGGGAGAACTTGCACAATTGGTGGCTGACTAAATACTTTTTTTCCCCACTGTAACTGTCCATCCATGATAAGGCAGAGGATGTTAATCCATAACACCTACGTTTTTTCAGCAATATGTTATGATCAATGATATCAAAGCCTGCACTGAAGTCTAACAAAACAGCTCCCACAATCTTATTATCAATTATTATCAATTTCTTTGTTGAGTGCCCTTCCCTATAAGAATGCTGAAAGTCTGTTGTTAATTTGTTTTCTGTAAAATAACATTGTATTTTTTCAAAAAGTTTGCTAAGCATCGGTAACAGGCTGATTAGTCTGCTGTTTGAACCATTAAAGGGTGCTTTGCTATTTTTGGCCAGGAGAATTACCTTTGCCTCCCTCCAGGCCTGAGGGCACACTCCGCCTTCTAGGCTTAGATTGAAGATGTGGCAAATAGGAGACGTAATGTATTCCGCTACAAACCTCAGTAATTTACCATCCAGGTTGTCGGTTCCAGGTGGTTTGTCCTTATTTATAGAAAGCAATACTTTTTTCACCTCTTCCACATTAACTTTGCAGAATTCAAAGCTACAGTGCTTGTCTTTCATTATTTGGTCCATTATGCATGAATATGAAGGCTCAGCATTTGTTGTTTGCATGTCATGCCTAAGTTTACTAATCTTGTCAACAAAAAAGTTATTAAAATGGTTGGCAATATCAAAGGGTTTTGTTATGAATTATCCATCAGCCTCAATGAAGGATGGAGCAGAGTTAGCTTTTCTGCCTAGAATGTAATCTAATGTACTCCAGAGCTTTTTAGAATTTAATTTAATGTATTTAAGAGCTTTTTACTATCATTCTTTATATAATTTATCTTTCTTCCATAGTATGCCGTAAAACTTCAATTAAACGCTGAGTCTCAAATAGCCGTCTGTCCCTTTTAATAGCCGGGCAATGGCACACAATTCAGCAAATAAACGCCTGTTTCAAATAAGCGCTGGATCTAAATGAATTGTTTACGAGGTTACCATGAATTACCATGAATTGTTTGCGAGGTTTAATGTTTGATTTGTTATATGAAATAAATCATTAATGACTCAAAAAAATTATGGCAATCATCTGTTTTCATCGCCAATAAGAAACTGCTAGCCATTGGCTGCTAACAGCTGAGAACTGCTAGCTAACTGTGAAGCACAAGAACGGTCAACAACTTTCGGAGTAGACCCCCAGAAATCGGCTGATCGCCATCTAGTGACGAAAGTAAGAACTGCCGAAAATGCACTGTCAAAGAGGAGAATAATTATTCTTATATTAATAAAAATGTTATAGAGGCATAGTAAGACAAAAGAAACAAGACAGTGTGTAAATGATAACACGTTAGTGCAAGAAATTAAGAAATGTATTAAAATGCTGGAAGTGAATGCTGAAATTAAACAATTAACTATCCAAATGAGCAAAAGCTGTGTGCATTAAAGGAAATAGACGCCTGGCTCAAATAGAAGCCTGCCTCTAGTAAGTGCCTGTTGTGTTCTGTGATTTAAGAAAATAAACGTCAGGGCTATTAATTTAAGTTTTACAATAGTTTCTTCTACTTTTTGTTTAGTTTAGTTACGTGATTACTCAATTAACTGTATGTTTGCCAATCTGCTGTATTGCCAGACTTATTTGCCAATCCCTTTGCCTCATCCGTCTCAGCCATACAGTTTTTCAATTAATCATCTATCCATGGGGATTTGGCAGTTTTATCAGTCAGTTTCTTTATGGGCACATGCCTGTCAGTAACCAGAAGAAGCAATTTCATAAATGCTTCAAGTGCAGCGTCAGGATGTTCCTCATTACACATCAGACCAACAAATATTTTTCATATCTTCATTGCATTCCTCTTGTATGATCGCTTATACACTATTTTAGGTCCAGTCTTTGGAACTTTGGTCTTCCTAGATATGGCTATTATATGATGATCACTACATATGTGGTCAATACAAGTGGTCAATACAAGTGGATGATTTAGTTGGTTCCACGTCTCATATAATCTAAACCTATTTGTACTTCCATGCAGGCCACAACAGACACCTGCAGGATGATGGGAAACAGGATATTCATCAATCACATTATTGCTGATGAGATCCAGAGGCAAGGGAGTACGATTTCTGACACATCTTATATTACCTGTATGAGGGACTTTATGCAGGTGAGATTGAGAACATTTTTGATAAGAGTAGTCTTCACATTCAGAGCATTTTGGAGCAATTATTTTACATCATACATGAAACAACTGTACCATATGCAATGGACATGATTCCCAGACAAATCTGACAGGACTAGTATGTACCATAATTTTAGTACTCAAGTCACCTTGACGAGCTGCCTGCATACCTTGGAGGGCGAGAGAACACCTGGAGGTCTCTCTCTCTTCGGGGACTGTCACGAAACATTCTACAGTGGGATAGCTTGGAGGTGGGCGGGAAGGGCACTGTGGCAGACAGGCTAAAGCAAGAGCTGCTGCTGTTAGCGCCTCAAGTTCCTTGCCCTCTGATTGGAGGAGCAATCCCACCTCGGATGCTCAGGTAGGCAGAAAGACGAGATCAGGAGAGCACTCTGAGTGAGATTCCCTGCTGTATGTGTTTTCTTGCATTTACAATAGGCCGATATACTATATACACTGAGTGTAAAAAACATGAAGAACACCTTCATAATATTGAGTTGCACCCCCTTTTGACTTGCCCATTCACCCTCTGAATGGCACACATACACAATCCATGTCTCAATTGTCTCAATACTTTTTACCTGTCTCCTGCCCGTCATCTACACTGATTGAAGTGGATTCAACAAGTGACATCAATATGGGTTCATAGCTTTCACCTGGATTCACCTGGTCAGTCTATGTCATGGAAAGAGCAAGTGTTCATAATGTTTTCTACACTCAGTGTACAGTGGGGAAAAAAAGTATTTAGTCAGCCACCAATTGTGCAAGTTCTCCCACTTAAAAAGATGAGAGAGGCCTGTAATTTTCATCATAGGTACACGTCAACTATGACAGACAAAATGAGGAAAAAAAATCCAGAAAATCACATTGTAGGATTTTTAATGAATTTATTTGCAAATTATGGTGGAAAATAAGTATTTGGTCAATAACTAAAGTTTCTCAATACTTTGTTATATACCCTTTGTTGGCAATGACACAGGTCAAACGTTTTCTGTAAGCCTTCACAAGGTTTTCACACACTGTTGCTGGTATTTTGGCCCATTCCTCCATGCAGATCTCCTCTAGAGCAGTGATGTTTTGGGGCTGTCGCTGGGCAACACGGACTTTCAACTCCCTCCAAAGATTTTCTATGGGGTTGTGATCTGGAGACTGGCTAGGCCACTCCAGGACCTTGAAATGCTTCTTACGAAGCCACTCCTTCATTGCCCGGGCGGTGTGTTTGGGATCATTGTCATGCTGAAAGACCCAGCCACGTTTCATCTTCAATGCCCTTGCTGATGGAAGGAGGTTTTCACTCAAAATCTCACGATACACGGCCCCATTCATTCTTTCCTTTACACGGATCAGTCGTCCTGGTCCCTTTGCAGAAAAACAGCCCCAAAGCATGATGTTTCCGCCCCCATTCTTCACAGTAGGTATGGTGTTCTTTGGATGCAACTCAGCATTCTTTGTCCTCCAAACACGACGAGTTGAGTTTTTACCAAAAAGTTCTATTTTGGTTTCATCTGACCATCTGACATTCTCCCAATCCTCTTCTGGATCATCCAAATGCACTCTAGCAAACTTCAGATGGGCCTGGACATGTACTGGCTTAAGCAGGGGGACACGTCTGGCACTGCAGGATTTGAGTCCCTGGCGGCGTAGTGTGTTACTGATGGTAGGCTTTGTTACTTTGGTCCCAGCTCTCTGCAGGTCATTCACTAGGTCCCCCCGTGTGGTTCTGGGATTTTTGCTCACCGTTCTTGTGATCATTTTGACCCCACGGGGTGAGATCTTGCATGGAGCCCCAGATCGAGGGAGATTATCAGTGGTCTTGTATGTCTTCCATTTCCTAATAATTGCTCCCACAGTTGATTTCTTCAAACCAAGCTGCTTACCTATTGCAGATTCAGTCTTCCCAGCCTGGTGCAGGTCTACAATTTTGTTTCTGGTGTCCTTTGACAGCTCTTTGGTCTTGGCCATAGTGGAGTTTGGAGTGTGACTGTTTGAGGTTGTGGACAGGTGTCTTTTATACTGATAACAAGTTCAAACAGGTGTCATTAATACAGGTAACGAGTGGAGGACAGAGGAGCCTCTTAAAGAAGAAGTTACAGGTCTGTGAGAGCCAGAAATCTTGCTTGTTTGTAGGTGACCAAATACTTATTTTCCACCATCATTTGCAAATAAATTCATAAAAAATCCTACAATGTGATTTTCTGGATTTTTTTTTCTCAATTTGTCTGTCATAGTTGACGTGTACCTATGATGAAAATTACAGGCCTCGCTCATCTTTTTAAGTGGGAGAACTTGCACAATTGGTGGCTGACTAAATTCTTTTTTTCCCCACTGTATATACACATTTGAGTAACTGTGGGTTTAATACTCATGACAGATGGTATCATGATGGCAATAGTCTTCACTTGAATCTAGGTCTCCTGCTGCGCCCCCCTCTTCTGTGGTTTCTACAGCACGCCATGCCTCACAACCTGCCACTAGCTACACCCCCCTCCCCTCAACTCGCCGCTCTGGCCGTGCACGCACCACAGCTGCCCGCATGAGACATCTGTATATTCTTGGGGGTACACTAAAGGTGAGTTTACATCCAACATATACTGAACAAAAATATAAACGCAACATGCAACAATTTCAAAGATTTTACTGAGTTACAGTTCATATGAGAAAACCTGTCAATTGAAATAAATGCATTAGCCCCTAATCTATGGATTTCACATGACTGGGAATACAGATATGCATATGTTGGTCACAGATACCTTTTTTAAAAATGGGCCTCACATGGGCCTCAGGATCTAGTCATGGTATTTCTGTGCATTCAAATTGTCATCGATAAAATGCAATTGTGTTCGTTGTCCGTAGCTTATGCCTGCCCATACCATAACCTTACCGCCACCATGGGGCACTCTGTTCACAACATTGACATCAGCAAACCACTCGCCCACACGACTCTATAAATGTGGTCTGTGGTTGTGGGGCCTGTTGGACGTACTGCCAAATTCTCTAAAACGATGTTGAACGTGGCTTATGGTAGAGAAATGAACATTACATTCTCTGGCAACAGCTCTGGAGGACATTCCTGCAGTCAGCATGCCAATTGCACACCTCCTCAAAACTTGAGACATCTGTGGCATTGTGTAGTGTGACAAAACTGCACATTTTAGAGTAGCCTTTTATTGTCCCCAGCACAAGGGGCACCTGTGTATTGATCATGCTGTTTAATCAGCTTCTTGATACACCACACCTGTCAGGTGGATGTATTTTCTTGGCAAAGGAGAAGTGCTCACTAAAAGGGATGTAAACAAATTTGTGCACAAAATTTGAGATAAATAAAAATTGTATGGAACATTTCTGGGATCTTTTATTTCAGCTCATGAAACATGTGACCATCACTTTACATGTTGCATTTATATTTTTGTTCAGTGTATATGTACACCAGCGCTGTGCAGCAGAAAACAGGACAGAGCAGAGGTAGCCTCGATTCCTGATCAGTTTATTTCTACGTCTTTCTACAGGATCAGAATAATGAAGTAACAGAGAAAAAACACAACCCTAAGGGAATAGAGCAAGAGAAAGACATGGAAGGAAGTGTTGTAAAGCCTGAAGCACCCCAGATAGTTTTGCCATTGAGATTGGAGGAAGACTCCAGTGAGGATTCCCTCTCAGATTCTGAGTGGGAAGAGGAAGCAGAGAAACTCTGCTCGTGGACAAGGCAGCTTGCTCTGGATGATATGGACAATGTGCCACCCACCTGAACTAGAACTTCAACTTGAGAAAGACTAGTGGATAGCCAAAACCCATTTCCACTCATATGGCTGTTAATTTTCTCTTCTCTTGCTTTGCACACAAATCTAATAAAAATGCTTGTGTAAATTACACAGTGTAATAGCCTACAGCGTGTGACTGAGTATTCTACTGCCTCTACCTAAGGCCTGGGCTTTCGTGTAACAGGTGGTAGAGCAGTAGCCTCTATAAGACTGCGCCATAAGACCGAGCCTGTCAGCTGTTCTCCCTCCTGCTACATTTGTGGCAGTGGTGGGATTATTATGGTGGTGTCACAGGTGCTGGAGAAGTACGTGTCCCCTGCTAGAAGGTGGGGCTTTGTGCATGTGTAACCGGTTCTGTACCGGTACCTTTCTGCGTTGTGTTCAGGTGAGGTGTAGGTGGAAGGGAAGGGAAATCTCTGCACACAATTCTGCCGGTTGTCTCTCTTTTAATGACTGCATGGAATGGATACATATGCAAGGCAAACGTTAATGCCGCCGTCTGGACTCTCTTACACAAGTATATTTGCCTGATAAAAGACAAAAGACAGTGCAGAATGCCCGTGAGAAAATCGTCAAGAAAACTCACGCTGTTGGTACCTGAAAGAGACCCTCTCCCGCACCCAAAACTAACTGTCGCTGGGCTAGCCTTGCAAAGTTGCAATCAAAGTTCCACTCAAATTATACCCATACACGCTAATATATATTCCTACCAACAGTAGTGCAACAACACTAAATTAATGAAGATATCATTTTTGCTTGTCTTTTTTGTGTATTTCTGAACATTTGCATTCAAAAGACCGGAGCATACATAAACACATACTCCTCCTCATCACGCTTTGAGCAAACTGAGGAGTAAAAGCATGGCTCCCGTTGATGACATCACAACATCAACACAATTTAGAAAGTTAGATAGTTCACTCTTTAAAGTTGTGTAATACATCTCAAAATAACCTTAAAATAATAAATGAAAATAAATATGAGGGATTTTCGGTGAAATACATAACGTATATTTTACACCTGTTACACATGGGGACACTTATTGGGGAATAGGCTACAGTTCGTGTAAGTGTTCTACTGCTTCTACCTGAGGCCTGGGCAATACAGGTGGTAGAGCATTTCCTTCTGCAGCAGAAGACACTAAGATTGAGCACCCTGACAGCTGGTCTCTCTGTCCAGCTACATTTTAGTCATTTAGCAGACGCTCTTATCCAGAGCGACTTACAGTTAGTGAATACATTTTTTTTTATATACTGGCCCCCCATGGGAATCAAACCCACAACCCTGGCGTCTGGCGTTGCAAACGCCATGCTCTATCAACTGAGCTACATCCCTGCCGGCCATTCCCTCCCCTACCCTGGACGACGCTGGGCCAATTGTGCGCCGCCCATGAGTCTCCCTGTCGCGGCCGGCTGCGACAGAGCCTGGATTCGAACCAGGATCTAGTGGCACAGTTAGCACTGCGATGCAGTGCCTTAGACCACTGCGCGCAGTGGTCTAACAATGTGCTGATATTGATAATCTTAGAAGGTATAATCAAATTGCAGGCATGAGAGAAGATCATCAAGGTATATCAACTTTAAGAGTAAAGAAAATTCCATGTGTCAAATGATTTTGACCAAGAAGTAGAAGTGGTCAATCACTGGCAAATCTGTAGCTGTCAAATTAACCTGTAAAGCTGGTAGTTACAAGAGTAACCAATAGGGCTAGATGTAATTGCATCTTGCTAATGGTAGTAGGAGTAAATGTCGAACATTCTCGCAGTTTGTTCATGATATTTAGCGACATACATGAACAAACTAAGCTCAGGCTTTCAAATGGTATTGCAAAGCAAACAGCCGCGATGTAAAGTCCCCGTAGTGGAGCACAGTTTGCTGTTGAGTGTGTCCCTGATCGTGGCCTGTCTATAACTACCAGCAGTTGGGTTTCCAGACTTCTTCCGCATTTTCCTACGACTTTCGGGCTGTGACGTGAGTGCTGACGGCGGCCTTGGTGCTGGCGGAGCTGGGGGCTGTAGCGATTATCAGTGGAGCTTCGAAAGTCTCGGCCCCTCCCTCACTGCGTCTCAGCGGCCCGCCCAGCTAGCACAAACTCCCGATTGAAACCTGCCCGAGTCTGGGGAAACCGGACGGCCTGGAAATCGAAAGAGAGGCCAACCGTACTACATAATCTGGTAAACAGGTTATCTTGCGCTTTTTTTTTTATGTGCATGGAACATAGAAATTGCCTTACATGTGTGATTGCATGTACATTATTCTATTTTCTATCTGAAAAGCGGAGAAGCGTACAAGGCCGAGGGTTGGGCCTTTCTTATTTATTTGGGGCCCGGCCTCAATAGGCCACAATTACGGCCAGAAAATCCGGCAGGGGATTTTTCAAAACATCGATAACGTTAGTCTGCTACTAGCCAGATACCACCCACAAAGTTTAACAGTATAGCCACCATGTTCAAATAACATATTGTACATAGATTATTATTTTTGCTCTGCATTAACAACACCAGTGGGTAGAATGTTTGTCCAGGGATCTCCAACAAAATGGCGCACGTCTGTTTCTGCAAACACTGATGGAAATAGGCTTTAGCTAGTCAGGCTAGCAGCCATAGTTAGCAATACACGGCTAGCGAACTGGCTAACCTAGCTATGCACTTATGTTTACTATCGCACGGATGTGTGGGGGTGGGATCAGCTGTCATGTTTCCACTGACTTTAGGTAGCTCAAAGCTGTCTTTTCAATTTGTTTTAAAGAACTTAAATGACCACATTTAGCCAGATAGTCTACTCTTTGATATTATGTAACCATTTTACTACGACCGCCAGATACTTTTTTGAAATTCGCATTTTGTTTGCTTGCAGACCTTTAGTCTTAAATGTATTTTTGCGTAAATAGCTAGATAAATTATAGCAGCGCCGTTTTTGTACTGAATTTGTTCCCATTTTAATATTAGGCTATAGTTAAAGGTTTGAGTCTGATGAGCTAATTGTGCATGATCTCCGGTGAGTATCATGAAGCATCACTACTTGTCTCGCGCTACCACACTGTTGCGTGCCAGACCACTGCTGTCAGATTTGACCGTCCGGGAATTGGATGAAAAATGTGCTGCGTCGCTCAAACCTTTTGTTTATGTCGCGGTGCATTTCGGCGAGTAACCGCATATATTTATTCACTTTGCATGACTATGGGGATTAAGATAGATAGTATTTGCATGGCTGAAAACATCTCTAGTGACGTCAAAGCACATTACAACAAAATAATGATTTTGTCATTACTATCATAACGTAAATAAACCTAATCACATAGCTGACTATACCCTTCCTCTTTGGTTTAGGCAGTGGGCCAAGTAATATAGCTAAAATAGTTTAGAAGATTGCCGCCAAATAAAATGCAGACCAATATAATTGATGTCCAGAATGATTAGGACATGACTACATTTCACAGGATGTGAAACACATGGCATAATGATAACTGTTACATTGTAACAATATGTGTTTCTTGTTAGAGAGAAAAATAAGTTTGAGTGAGATGTAGGATTTCAATATGGTAGACTAATATTTAGGGTTGGTTGTTAGGCCTATATGACTGATTTGACTGGTCAATTCTTGCCTCCAGTGCTGCAGTGACAAATGAGGTGTAAGGACAATGGATGAGGATGAGACAAGGCTTGCACTCCATTCCCAAGATCCTAAAATCATTCTGCATGGATCAGGTAATAGCTACGTTTCACTGAGCATTCAAGTATTTCCCTGTACTGTTCATTGTTCTGCACAAAAATATAACATTTCTTAAAGCTTTTTTAGTTATTTTCTTTGTAAGAGTGCATACATACAGTGCCTTATGAATGTATTCATACCTCTTGACTTATTCCACACTTTGTTGTGTTAAAGCCTGAATTCAAAATGGATTAAATACGTTTTTTTGCTCACCCATCTACACACAATACCCCATAATGATAAAGTGAAAACATGTTTTTAGAAATTTCTGCAAATGTATTGAAAATGAAATAGAGAAATATCTCATTTACATAAGTATTCACACCCCTGAGTCAATACATGATAGAACCACCATTGGCGGCGATTACAGCAGTGAGTCTTTCTGGGTAAGTCTCTAAGAGCTTTGCACACCTGGATTGTACAATATTTGCCCATCATTCTTTTCAAAATTCTTCAAGCTCTGTCAAATTGGAGGATGATCATTGCTAGACAACCATCTTCAAGTCTTGCCATTGATTTTCTAGCAGATTTAATTAAAACTGTAACTCGGCCACTCCGGGAACATTCCCTGTCTTCTTGGTAAACAACTCCAGAGTAGATTTGGCCTTGTGTTTTAGGTTATTGTCCTGCTGAAAGGTGAATTAATCTCCCAGTGTCTGGTGGAAAGCAGACTGTTTTTCCTCTAGGATTTTGCCTGTGCTTAGCACCATTCCTTTTATTTTTTATGCTGAAAAACTCCTCAGTCCTTAACGACTACAAGCATACCCATAACGTCATGCAGCCACCACTATGCTTGAAAATATGAAGAGTGGTATTCAGTAATGTGTTGTATTAGATTTGCCCCAAACATAACACTTTGTATTCAGGACATGAAGTAAATTGCTTTGCCACATTTTTTTTGCAGTATTACTTTAGTGCCTTGTTGGAAACAGGATGCATATTTAGGATGTTTTTTTAAATTCCTTAATTTCACTCTGTCAATTAGGTTAGTGTTGCGGAGTAACTACAGTGTTGTTGATCCGTCCTCAGTTTTCTCTTATCACAGCCATTCAACTCTGTAACTGTTTTAAAGTCACCATTGGCCTCATGGTGAAATTGCTGAGCTGTTTCCTTCCTCTCCTGCAACTGAGTTAGGAAGGATGCCTGTGTCTTTGTAGTGACTGGGTGTATTGATACACCATCCAAAGTGTAATTAATAACTTCACCATGCTCAAAGGGATATTCAATGTCTGCTTTTATTTTTACCCGTCTACCAATAGGTGCCCTTTGTGAGGCATTGGAAAACCTCCCTGGTCTTTGTGGTTGAATCTGTGTTTGAAATTCACTGCTCGACCAAAGACTGTAAAAATGGGACCTGATGCATCTCCGCTTGGCACTCAGCATTAAGGAGATAGATTGGGGTAAGGCCCTGCAATAGACTAGCGTCCTGTCCAGGGGGTGTACTTGTACATCAAGTTAAATCAACCTGCCTTATGAGCCGTTCCGGCTCGCACAAGCCAAGGCTCGTGCAAGGCTACTTACAGTGCCTTGCAAAAGTATTCATCCCCCTTGGCGTTTTTCCTATTTTGTTGCATTACAACCTGTCATTTAAATTGATTTTTATTTGGATTTCATGTAATGGACATACACAAAATAGTCCAAATTGATGAAGTGAAATGAAAAAAATAACTTGTTTCAAAAAATTCTAAAAAATAAATAACGGAAAAGTGGTGCGTGCATATGTATTCACCCCCTTTGCTACGAAGCCTCTAAATAAGATCTGGTGCAACCAATTACCTTCAGAAGTCACATAAGTAGTTAAATAAAGACCACCTGTGTGCAATCTAAGTGTCACATGATCTGTCACATGATCTCAGTATATATACACCTGTTCTGAAAGGCCCCAGAGTCTGCAACGCCACTAAGCAAGGGGCACCACCAAGCAAGCGGCACCATGAAGACCAAGGCGCTCTCCAAACAGGTCAGGGACAAAGTTGTGGAGAAGTACAGATCAGGGTTGGGGTTATAAAAAAATATCTGAAATGTTGAACATCCCACGGAGCACCATTTAAATCCATTATTAAAAAATGGAAAGAATATGGCACCACAACAAACCTGCCAAGAGGGGGCCGCCCACCAAAACTCACAGACCAGGCAAGGATGGCATTAATCAGAGAGGCAACAAAGAGACCAAAGATAACCCTGAAGGAGCTACAAAACTCTACAGCGGAGATTGGAGTATCTGTTCATAGGACCACTTTAAGCCGTACACTCCACAGAGCTGGGCTTTACGGAAGAGTGGCCAGAAAAAAGCCATTGCTTAAAGAAAAAAAATAAGCAAACACATTTGGTGTTCGCCAAAAGGTATGTGGGAGACTCCCCAAACATATGGAAGAAGGTAGTCAGATTTTGGCCATCAAGGAATACGCTATGTCTGGCGCAAACCCAACACCTCTCATCACCCTGGGGATGTTTTTCATCGGCAGGGACTGGGAAACTGGTCAGAATTGAAGAAATGATGGATGGCGCTAAATACAGGGAAAGTCTTGAGGGAAACCTGTTTCAGTCTTCCAGAGATTTGAGACTGGGACGGAGGTTCACCTTCCAGCAGGACAATGACCCCCTAAGCATACTGCTAAAGCAACACTCGAGTGGTTTAAGGGGAAACATTTAAATGTCTTGGAATGGCCTAGTCAAAGCCCAGACCTCAATCTAATTGAGAATATGTGGTATGACTTAAAGATTGCTGAACACCAGCAGAACCCATCCAACTTGAAGGAGCTGGAGCAGTTTTGCCTTGAAGAATGGGCAAAAATCCCAGTGGCTAGATGTGCCAAGCTTATAGACATACCCCAAGAGACTTGCAGCTGTAATTGCTGCAAAAGGTGGCTCTACAAAGTATTGACTTTAGGGGGGGTGAATAGTTATGCACGCTCAAGTTCTGTTTTTTTGTCTTATTTCTTGTTTGTTTCACAGACAAAAATATTTAGCATCTTCAAAGTGGTAGGCATGTTGCGTAAATTAAATGATACAAACCTCCCAAAAATCCATTTTAATTCCAGGTTGTAAGCAACAAAATAGGAAAAATTCCAAGGGGGGTGAATACTTTCGCAAGCCACTGTATGTGACTTGTTAAGCAAATGTGTACTCTAGCCTTGCCATAACAAAGGGGTTGAATACTTATTCACTCAAGACATTTCAGCTTTACATTTTTTATTAATTAGTAAAAAAATTGAAAAACACAATTCCACTTTGACATTATTGGGTGCCAGTGACAAAAAAAAACCAATTTAAAATTCAGGCTGTAACACAACAAAATGTGGAACAAGTCAAGGGGTGTGAATACTTTCTGAAGGCACTGCATGTCTGCTGCAGCATGTTTATGTAGGCCAATACTGAAGATATCCATCCAACTGTTCTTGTGTTGTGTTCCAGATGAGGGTGGTGCTGGAGGGGAGGAGTTTGTGGTGGAGTTGCAGGAGACGGTTCTGGTGTTGGAGGGAGAAGGGGAGGGAATGGAGGTGCATGGATTAGCTCCAGAGGAGCTGGTGATCCAGGATGCTGTTGAGGACGTGGTGTCTGAGTATGTGCACTGCGATGAGGACGAGGAGGTTGCTGTGGAGACGTGTGTGATGTCGCTGGATGGGGAGGACGAAGGCGTTGCCATGGGGGACATGCCTGAAGATGTGATGGTGGCAGACGGGCATGCCCAGGATGAACTGGACCCAGAGCAAGACACAGACGGCTGTGGGGACTACCTGATGATCTCCTGTAAGTACCAGGCTACTTCTCTTCTCCAGTTCTACATCAATACCACTCACTCAGTCACTTGGCCTCTTATAAAGAAAACATTGCTGTTAAACTAATGATCAGTAGTGAATGGACTAACTCTGTCTCTCTTTTCATCTCCTTCCAGTGGATGAGGCAGGCAAGATGGTGTCAGACGATGGTACAGAGGTGACTGTGGAGGGAGCCGTGGAGGACCAGGAGTTGGAGAAGGATGAGGATGGCCAGGAGGTGATCAAGGTGTATATCTTCAAGGCAGACTCTGGGGAGGATGACCTGGGTAAGGAGATATTTGAATAATGTTTAATGCACTTAGAAAGAGGGATTGTATAACCCATAGTAGTTGATCACTAAGGAGTATTAAGTCAGTGTGTGGTTGTCTGTGTAGGAGACACAGAGGACTTGGAAGACTCTACAGGCCGAACGCTCCGAGAGAAGATGGTGTACATGTCCCAGGGGGACCATTGTAAGAACTAAATTGTGTGTGTGTGTGTGTGTGTGTGTTTTACGATTGTGTTGTAACTAGTGTGTTTTCCTGCAGGTGCATCAAAGATATCTGATGAGGTTTACATGGAGGTGGTGGTGGGGGGTGAGGAGCCAGTGACCCATGAGCGGTCTTACGACAGCACGGCTCTCAGTAAGGACTTCATGCCTGTGGCTTGGGCAGCCGCTTATGGTCAGTAACACACACTATTATATACAAACGTACCGTTTAACAGGGCAGAGAATGTCTTCTTGCTCTTCTGTACTCTGTAGTGATAAGTACAGTGCATTCGGAAAGTATTCAGATCCTTTCCCTTTTTCCACATTTTGTTACGTTACAGCCTTATTCTAAAATGGATTAAATATTTTTAAAATCCTCATCAAAATCCAGACAATACCCCATATTGACAAAGTGAAAAGACATTTTTGCAAATGTATTAAAAATAAAAAAAACATACCTTATTTACCTAAGTATTAAGACCCTTTGCTATGAGACTCGAAATTGAACTCAGGTGCATCCTGTTTCCATTTATCATCTTTGAGATGTTTCTACAACTTGATTGGAGTCAACCTGTGGTACATCCAATTGATTGGGCATGATTTTGAAAGGCACACACCTGTCTAGATGAGGTCCCACAGTTGACAGTGCATGTCAGAGCAAAAACCAAGCCATGAGGTCGAAGGAATTGTCCGTAGATCTCTGAGACAGGATTGTGTCGAGGCACAGATCTGGGGAAGGGTACCAACATTTTTTTGCAGCATTGAAGGTCCCCAAGAACACAGTGGCCTCCATCATTCTTAAATGGAAGAAGTTTGGAACCACCCAGACTCTTTCTAGAGCTGGCCGCCCGGCCAAACTGAGCAATCGGGGGAGAAGGGCCTTGGTCAGGGAGGTGACCAAGAACCCAATGGTCACTCTGACAGAGCTTCAGAGTTCCTCTGTGGAGATGGGAGAACCTTCCAGAAGGACAACCATCTCTGCAGCAGTCCACCAATCAGGCCTTTATGGTAGTGGCCAGATGGAAGCCACTCCTCAGTAAAACCCACATGACAGCCCACTTGGAATTTGCCAAAAAGGCACCTAAAGGACTATGCTCATGAGACACTATATTCTCTGGTCTGATGAAACCAAGATTGAACTCTTTAACCTGAATGTCAAGCGTCACATCTGAAGGAAACCTGGCACCATCCCTACGGTGAAGCATGGCGGTGGCAGCATCATGCTGTGGGGATGTTTTTCAGCGGCAGGGACTGGGAGACTAGTCAGGATCGAGGGAAAGATGAACGGAGGCAAGTACAGAGAGATCCTTGATGAAAACCTGCTCCAGAGCGCTCAGGACCTCAGACTGGGGCGAAGGTTCACCTTCCAACAGGACAACGACCCTAAGCACACAGCCAAGACAACGCAGTGGCTTCGGGACAAGTCTCAATGTCCTTGAGTGGCCCAGCCAGAGCCTGGACTTAAACCCAATCAAACATCTCTGGAGAGACCTGAAAATAGCTGTGCAGGAACGCTCCCCATCCAACGTGACAGAGCTTGAGAGGATCTGCAGAGAAGAATGGGAGAAACTCCCCAAATACATTTACATTTTAGTCATTTACATTTTAGTCATTTAGCAGACGCTCTTATGCAGAGCGACTTACAGTTAGTGAGTGCATAAATTTTTTTTCTTCTTCATACAACAGGCAAATACAGGTGTGGCAAGCTTGTAGCGTCATATCCAGGAAGACTCGGGCTGTAATTGCTGCCAAAGGTCCTTCAACAAAGTACTGAGGAAAGGGTCTGACTACTTATGTAAATGTGATATTTCAGTGTTTTCAAATTTCAAATTTTCTACAAACTGGTTTTTGCTTTGTTATTATGGGGTATTGTGTGTAGATTGATGAGGGGAAAAAACAATTTTAATCAATTTTAGAATAAGGCTGTAACGTAACAAAATGTGGAAAAAGGGAAGGGTTCTGAATACTTTCCGAATGCACTATATCTCTGCTCTAGCAGTGTTGAGAGAAGGTGTGCATTTGCATTCAAAGTTTGCTATGTGATTCCAGGTTCTGAGGACAGTGAAAGCTGTGAGAACAGGAACGGTGCTGCCAGTGCTCTGCTGCACATTGACGAGTCAGACGGAGTGGACAAGGTCAACAGGCAACGGAACAAGAACAAGAGAACAAGGGCTGAGCCTCGGCAGGTCCAGACAGGTACGCAACTGTCAGATGGGACTGAATTACAGTCAGGTAATTATTGGCATCCTTGATCAAATGAGCAAAAAAGACTGTATAAGATAAAAGTATGTGGACACCCCTTCTAATTAGTGGATTTGGCTATTTCAGCCACATCCTTTGCTGACAGGTGTATAAAATTGAGCACACAGCCATGCAATCTCCATAGACAAACATTAGTAGTAGAATGGCCTTACTGAAGACCTCGGTGACTTTCAACATGGCACCGTCATAGGATGCCACCTTTCAAACAAGTCAGTGAAAATTCTGCCCTGCTAGAACTGCCCCGGTCAACTGTAAGTGCTGTTATTATTTAGTGGGAACGTCTAGGGGCAACAACGTCTCAGCCGCGAAGTGGTAGGCCACACAAGCTCTCAGAGTGGGACCGCCGAGTGCTGAAGCGCGTAGCGCGTAAACATCTTCTGTCCTCGGTTGCAACACTCGCTACCGAGTTCCAAACTGCCTCTGGAAGGAACGTCAGCACAATACCTGTTCGTTGGAAGCTTCATGGAATGGGTTTTCATGGCCGAGCAGCCGCACACAAGCCTAAGATCACCATGCGCAATGCCAAGCGTCAGCTGGAGTGGTGTAAAGCTCGCCGCCATTGGACTTTGGAGCAGTGGAAACGCGTTCTCTGGAGTAATGAATCACACTTCACCGTCTGGCAGTCGGACGGACAAATCAGGGTTTGGCGAATGCCAGGAGAACGCTACCTGCCCAATTGCATAGTGCCAACTGTAAAGGTTGGTGGAGGAGGAATAATGGTCTGAGGCTGTTTTTCATGGTTCGGGCTATGCCCCTTAGTTCCAGTGAAGGGAAATCTTAACACCACAGCATACAATGACATTCTAGACCAGGGTTCTTCAATTCCGGTCCTGGAGGGCCGAGACACCTCTGTTTTTCATCCTCTCCTTCTAATCAGGGGCTAATTCAGACCTAGGACACCAGGTGAGTGCAATTAACTACCAGGTAGAAATAAAAAACAGAAGTGTTTCGGCCCTCCAGGACCGGAATTGAAGAACCCTGTTCTAGACTATTCTGTGCTTCCAACTTTGTGGCAACAGTTTGGGGAAGGCCCTTTCCTGTTTCAGCATTGCAATGCCCCCGTGCACAAAGCGAGGTCAATACAGAAATGGTTTGTCTAGATCGGGGTGGAAGAACTTGACTGGCCTGCACAGAGCCCTGAGCTCAACCCCATCGAACACCTTTGGGATGAATTGGAACGCCGACTGCGAGCCAGGCCTAATTGCCCAACATCAGTGCCCGACCTCACTAATGCTCTTGTGGCTGAACGGAAGCAAGACCCCGCAGCAATGTTCCAACATCTAGTGGAAAGCCTTCCCAGAAAAGTGGAGGCTGTTATAGCAGCAAAGGGGGACCAACTCCATATTAATGCCTATGATTTTGGAATGAGATGTTCGACGAGCAGGTGTCCCCATACTTTTGGTCATGTAGTGTATGTGCAGATACAAAATGTATGTGGAGACCATGTAGTGTATATTGTGTGCTAATTATGTTTGTTGAAATTATATTATTTTATACCAATACAATTACTCAGAGAAATAGATTTTGTTTAACAAAATGTATCTAAAAGATAGGGGTCAAAAATATTGACATCCCTGTATTCAATACTCCAGGACCCTTCCCTTGCCACTGAGCCGTTTTCAAAAATGCTTTATGAGATTGGAGTGTTAACACATTGCGATGGATCTTAGACAATTCCTCCATACAGAATCTTTCCAGGTTCTCCAAGGGGAGGGTGCCAGAGTATTTGGTTGTAGTTTTGAAATTTATTTTTAATTATTTGTTAAACAAATTCTTTCTATAAGCAATTGTATTAGTATAAAATAATATAATATTCCCCATTTTAGAGCATACAATATAACTCAGTATTTGTATTATTATTTGATAGTCTTCCTTGCTCGTCTTTATCAAGGGTGACAATCATTTTGCACCTGACTATATGTTACTGATTGTATGGGCTGGGCAACTGCGGGTCATTTATAAAGTCAGCTGATTGCCAAACTCACTCTCTGCACAGGTTTTCAGGTGTTTAATTTCTGAATACAGATCATGTGATATCTGGGAGTTATGAGCTTTGTATCTGTCCTAATTTTCTTCTCTTTTGCTGTTTCCCATTCCAGCCATCATTATTGGTCCATATGGCCAGCCTCTGACAGTATACCCCTGCATGCTCTGTGGCAAGAAGTTCAAGTCGCGAGGCTTCCTGAAGCGCCACACCAAAAACCACCACCAGGATGTCCTGACCAGGAAAAAGTACCAGTGCACGGACTGTGACTTCACCACCAATAAGAAGGCCAGCCTTCATAACCATATGGAGGTGCACACACTGAACAACAAGGCTCTGTTTGAGTGTGAGGTGTGTGGCAAGGAGTTCCACCAGCAGGCAGCGCTGTTCTCCCATCGACTGCAGCACCACCACCGTGAGCCCAAGAGTCCAGTGCCTTCACAGGCCAACAAGATGCACAAGTGCAAGTTCTGTGACTACGAGACAGCTGAACAAGGTCTGCTCAACCGCCACTTGCTGGCTGTCCATAGTAAGAGCTTCCCCCACATCTGTGTGGAATGTGGCAAGGGCTTCCGGCACCCCTCCGAACTGAAGAAACACATGCGCACACACACAGGCGAGAAGCCTTACTCTTGCCTCTACTGCGACTACAAGTCGGCTGATTCCTCCAACCTGAAGACTCATGTCAAGACCAAGCACAGCAAAGAGATGCCCTTCAAGTGTGAGCGCTGCTTCCAGACGTTTGCTGAGGAGGAGGAGTTGCTGCAGCACGGGCTGACTCATGAGGAGGCCAAAACCCACCAGTGTGCCCACTGTGAACACAAGAGCTCCAACTCCAGTGACCTGAAGCGCCACATAATATCGGTGCACACTAAGGACTACCCCCACAAATGTGGCGTCTGCGATAAAGGCTTCCACCGGCCGTCAGAACTGAAGAAGCACTCTGCGTCGCACCGTGCCAAGAAACTGCACCAGTGCCGGCACTGCAACTTCAAGATCGCGGACCCCTTTGTGCTCAGTCGCCATATCCTGTCAGTCCACACCAAGGAGCAACAGGCCTCTCCTGAAAAGAACGGGCCCAAAAGGACCTTACTAGGGCCTTCCCCTGCCAGTGCACCGGTGGCAAGGAAGCAGGTTTTGGTACCTGGTGCTAGTTCTAGTGCTGCGGGCATGGCCAAGGGACCCAGGGAGAGGAGGGTTTATCAGTGTCAGTACTGTGACTACAGCTCTGGGGATGCCTCAGGCTTCAAGCGCCATGTGATCTCCATCCACACAAAAGACTACCCCCACCGCTGTGAGATCTGCTCTAAAGGCTTCCGCAGGCCCTCGGAGAAGAGCCAGCATATTGCACGCCACCACAAGGACTTAGTGCAGGCAGACTGACCCTGGCACGTCCTACCCCTCATACCACGACAAAAACACAAATGCAACCACTACCACACCGTAATCAATTGTATGAATGTATGTATGTATACTGAACAAAAATATAAATGCAACATGCAACAATTTCAAGGTTTTATACTGAGTTACAGTTAATATAAGGAAATCAGTCAATTTAAATACATTCATAAGGTCCTAATCTATGGATTTCACATGACTGGGAATACAAATATGCATCTGTTGGTCACAGATACCTTAGGGGCGTGGTCAGAAAACCAGTCAGTATTTGGTGTGACCACCATTTGCCTCATGCAGCGCGACATCTCCGTCGCATAGAGTTTATCAGGCTGTTGATTGTGTCTTGAGGAATGTTGTCCCACTTCTTTTCAATGGCTGTGCGAAGTTGATGGATATTGGCAGGAACTGGAACACACTGTTGTACATGTAGAGCCAGAGCATCCAAAACATGCTCAATGGGTGACATGTCTGGTGAGTATGCAGGCCATGGAAAAACTGGGGCATTCAGCTTCCAGGAATTGTGTACAGATCTTTGTGACATGGGGCTAAGGTGAAACATGAGGTGATGGCGGTGGAAGAATGGTACGACAATGGGCCTCAGGATCTCGTCACGCTATCTCTGTGCATTCAAATTGCAATCGATAAAATGCAATTGTGTTCGTTGTCCGTAGCTTATGCCTGTCCATACCATAACCCCACAACAGGGCACTCTGTTCACAACGTTGACATCACCAAACCGCTCCACCACACGACACCATACACGTGGTCTACGATTGTGAGGCCGGTTGGACATACTGCCAAATTCTCTAAAATGACGTTTGAGACAGCTTATGATAGAGAAGTGAACATTACATTTTCTGGCAACAGCTCTGGTGGATATTCCTGCAGTCAGCATGCCAATTGCACACTCCCTCAAAACTTGAGACATCTGTGGCATTGTGTTGTGTAACAAAACTGCACATTTTAGAAGTGGCCTTTTGTTGTGCCCAGAACAAGGTGTGCCTGTGTAAGATAATGCTGTTTAATCAGCTTCTTGATATGCCACACTTGGCAGGTGGATGGATTATCTTTGTAAAGGAGAAATGCTCACTAACAAGGATGTAAACAAATTTGTGCACAAAATTTAAGAGAAATAATTGTTTTGTGCATATGAAAAATGTCGGGGATCTTTTATTTCAGCTCATGAAACATGGGACCAACACTTTACATGTTGCGTTTATATTTTTGTTCAGGGTGTGTGTGTGTCTGTCTCTCAAGCTAACTTTTCTGCAACTGAAAATTAATTTAAGTGTATGAATACCTGGGTAAGGCCTGTGGAATCAGGTGACAAAGCCCTGTACAGACTTGCACTTTATCTGCATGTCCACCTACTGGTGAAAGTGTGCATTGTAGAATGTGCAGGAGTCTGAGGTGTTTGTAGATTGACATTAGTTTTTACTCCACAGCCAACAATCAGTTCTTTATTAATGTAGCAATTTTGATCCTACTTTTACTTGTTGACACACAACTAAGACAAAATGTAATCTACAAGCTGTTTGTATTCATGCAATGAAATGGACATTCACCTGCTGAGAAAAAGCTGGTCCACTGAGCAGAGTGGCCGAGATGAACTCTAATTCTATTAGCACTTGCCAATGTATTTCATGAATTATGAATGCAGTAATCATGAACTCATGAATTATACCTGATGCTTTGAATGCTGAGACACAGAGAATGTGTGTTGTATGTGGTTGAGTGCCTGTTGTGAGGGATGTGTCAGTTAAGACGTTACAGCAATGTATCTATACCCTATGAAAGTCCTGCCTACTTCCTGGTTCAAGTCCCATATTGTTTTTGAATGGGCTTCAAGCTTATATCATAAAATTCATGAAAATAGGGTCATTTTTAAATATGTCAAATTATATTTGTATTCGTGGATTAATTCACCTTTATCCAATGCATTTTATGAAAGTTTTCGATTACAGAATATTAAAATGCAATCGGACACCCTATGAAAGGCATCAGGTAGAAGTAAATTAATCCACGAATACAAATATAATTTTACATATATCTCAAATGACCACGTTGAATTTGATTATGTAAGCTTGACGCCCATTCAAAAACAGTACTTGAACTAGGAAGTAGGCAGGACTTTCATAGCGTATTGCGCTTCCTGGTGCTCTGACCCCACATCTCCATGTCATATCTTAGTTATTTTGAGGGGAACTGTCTGTCTGGTCATGTACAATGCCTGGAGAAGGAGTTGACTGCATCATAGCAAATAGCCATGTCCATTGTAAAAGCTGCGGCTTCAGAGGTTTCTTAGTTGATTCACTTCTTAACACACAGTGAGATACTAGATGTGGCTGTTCATCCTATGGGGGTGGGGGGATCTAACAGGTAAGCAGCATCATTTTGAACTCTAACCCATAAACCCATCTTCATACATATTATTTAACCCCTGATAAGCTTGATTATCAGACACCTGACTGAAGTATGATGCAGCGCCAGCAAGGCCTTCAGAGTTAGGTTGCACTATATCTGGTACCACAGACTCATGACCACAACATACTTCCTTTACCCAAACAACATACTTCCTTTACCCAAACAGCCATTAGTCACCTGAGCAGAAATGCAACTTGTAAAGACTGGTGGTATATTTGTACTCTGGCTTCGACAGTTCCTTCCCCTGTGATCATTTTTGTTTTTATATTTATTTCATCGTGAACTTTGCTGTATAGTTCAGTGTAACTAGAATTCTATAGGAGGTAAATTATTGTTTTGTACACATGTAAATAAAGTGTGTGGATGTAAAGACTTAACAAACAAAAGGAGGAATCAGAACTGTTATGGATGTACTTGAAGTATTTCTTTAAAAAATATATGAAAAAAATATAAAAGCATAATATTTTACCTGCATGTTTGTCTTTTTAATAATTGACAAATGTATGTAATTGTCAGCTAGCTAATACTGCAAGGAGTAGGATAACATTTTAAATAGAATGATGGTACACCAAGGTTGCTTTTAGTTCTGGGTTTACATTACATTTGATCAATTCAGACTTCTGAAGCAGCTAACATTACTCATTTTGGGATCAGGTGTTAAATACCTGTAATATTCTAGTAATCTGAAGAGTAGAATGACTGACAAATGGCAAAGCACAGGACAGTATTTTATTGGAACCAATCAGCGAAGTGAAAACTAAGAGGTTAAAAGATTGCCTAACCAGCTACACTGGGCTTCAGTAGGTAATGCAGATGCAAGTTAAGGCGGAGCCTGATGGATCACTGCAGCTAAAGGTGGTTCATGGTTGCCACAGTGGCCATGGGCCTACCCATCAAGTATCAAAGCCATGCAGAAGGATCAAGGGAGCATGCCTTGGAAGTAAAGAAGATGGATGAAATTACGCAGCGGGACATTCATCTGCAGAAAGAAAGAAAAAAATAAGGTTGATAATTATAAGTCTGAGACGTTCCACACTTCTATCCAGAAATATTATCCAACTTAAACACACTTCACAAACAGAGATGGCATGTACCGTTTTTTGGGAAGATAGCGATGTTTTCAGGCCGAACGCCAGTGTCCAGGGAGAACTGCCTAAACTTCTGCAGTAGGTCAGGGCTCAGGTCTGTCCCACGGGCTGTAGACACAACACATGTAGTACATGGCAGACTAAATATACTATGAAGGATACAATATCATTTTGTAATATAAGATTTCGAACAAATGATGGGGAAAGGAATAGTGAAATAATGAGACTGAGTTATAGGATTTAACAGAGGAGTGGAAAGGATCTTACCATACAGGTTGGTGAGCACAGCTGAAACACCCTTGGTCTTGGTGTGAATAAGAGCATACTCGTCATACTTAACATCAACGACACGCATGTCATTTTCATTATTCCAGCCTAGAGAGTGACGAGAGGGAGATGAATTGACAATATCATACATAGGCCCATTAGTGCACTGTGTGTATGTGTTTAAAGGTTCTAGACTTACGCTCGCTCTTGTAGATGAATTTCCCCGGAAGGTTTGTCTTCTTGGCCAGGTGGTTCATTCTCCAGCAGGAGCCATCAGCGCTACAGAGACAATACAGTTCATACAGTATCAGCACAATGTCTAGGCGCTCTCTCTCTTACTTACTTCCGTCTAGCATATGCCATGTCCATGTCTCCATCAGCAGTTGGTGTCAGCATGGCGGTGCCCATCTTCATCTCGGCCCTGTGTTTGACGAACCACTGGGCATTAGTGGCAAATCCAATCACGTACCACTTTCCTGCCACCTGCAAAAACCAGCCCCGATTAGATTACATCACCTCATTCCTGTCTGCAGGGGTCACAGAAAGTTTAAACCTTAAAGAAGGGCTGCCTTTGAAAAGCAACAAATTCCTATGAAAATGGCCTATGTGGCATCAATATCAGTCAGAAACAGTTATTCTAGTGTCAAAATTGACTACAAAGCGTAAATAGGATAATTTTGGTAATAAAGTCAGTCTTGTCTAAAACAGAGTTTGGAACATCCATGCGTCACAACGGGTAAAGGAAGGTTGGGTTTTGATTTGAGGATGTCAATTTGCCCATTAACATGGGGTGAACAGCTGCGGTGATTGTTCTCTATCTAATAGCATAGACAGTGCGACAGACCTGCTCAACAGCTCCGACTATTTACAAAAGACAACAATAACATCATTTTTTAACTTGAGAAATACTGCACTAAACACCTTAATGTAAAATTGCACAACTTAAACATCCTTGGCAAAAACTTCTAAATTAATTACAGATTCCTTGAGTTATATAAAAATTTGAAGAAGTGAAATAGGCTACAGTGTCTCATGGGGGACAAACATCATTAACCAAACGTGGAATCGGCCAGGAAACACACCTCCAAGACTAAAACTTTGTTTTTCTAATGAGCAACAGAAAAACCCACGTGCCAATCGGCATGTTCAGTGGCTCTTTAAATCTGTGAGAGCTGATACTGAAATATTCCTGAATCATTCATGAATTAAAATCTCAATAACTATTGTCTCAATATGAACACCCAACAATGTGTCACTAGAATTCCCACATTTCTCTTCATCCCTTCCATTTGTATCTTGTTTTCATCACAGTTTTCTTTCTGTATTTTTTCTCCTACTTTCTTTTTTCTCCATAACAATTGCTAGTTTGGTCCACGTCATTAGATTTTTAATGTAACCCTGATTTCTTGTTCATCCCTTTCTTCAGTCTCTCTCTTACCCCTTGTAGATTGAAGTCTCCTTGGGGCATAACCTCAGCGGTGACAACCAAGGAGCAGAGCAGTGCTCCTAGTGCTCTCAGCATTATGGTCGTCATGGCTACAGCAGAGCAGGGTCAGTATCATTAATTATAAAGGACAGAATATAATATCTGTTTTTCTTTGCTGCCTCTCACTCCTATATATACTGTAGAGCATGGGCTTACACAAACACCCCCCTCCCTCCCTCCCTCCCTCCCTCCCTCCCTCCCTCCCTCCCTCCCTCCCTCCCTCCCTCCCTCCCTCCCTCCCTCCCTCCCTCCCATACACACACAGACACACAAGCTGCTACCATCTCTATTTCCCGCCCCTTAGAAACACACACACACACAATACCCATGGGTGGAGATGGGGCTTGTCGTGGCTGTGATCTCCCACGAACCCTGGAGGTGGTGGGATGGGTTCAAACAGGAGCAACGTCAAGCAATAAGTGTATGCGTGTGTGCATGTGAAATGTGCTAAAAGAACTTGTAAGCATCAGCCCATCAATTTAGAAAATAAAATACCAGCAGCAAAAATAGACAGACAGTGATAAACAAAGCAGTATCTGCCCCTCCAGTGCTTTCTGTGGGCAGGAACTAGAGAATCAAATCTAAAAGTCAGCATTTTAGATGGTAAACAGAGCTCCCTCTATCTCTCTTCGTGTGTGTGTGGTTTAATGTGAAATGTATCTATCAGTGTAAAACCTTGCTTTAGGGTGAAGAGCAAGCCTTCATGTAATGTTAGTTGCATATAATCTCAGCTCAACACAATTGTAAAGGTATAGTCAACTCAAAATACAATTGAACATGATTTTCCACATATATTTTGAGTGGTCTATGCCTTTAAATAATATACTGCTTCGGTCAAATAATCCTTACATAAGTTCTAAAAAACGATTTGCCAGTTGTTAATTTTCCACTCTTGGTAGTTGGAGGCGGTAGACTAACTGTGATGGAACAGACACACCTACAGCTCACATACTGTACCTTGTCAGTTGAAACAGTGGTCTTGAAACATATCATTTATTCAATCCAATACTGAAAATTCTAACCAGATGCTCTCAGCATCTAATTACAATATTTTTGTGCTTATTTCAGGTGCACGTATAAAATCAAAACATGATTGAGGAGCTAAAATAGTTTATCAAAACATTATTTTATTAACAAAAAAGTTTAACATAAAGCTGCAACTTGAAATTGAATTGACATGTATTACATGCCAAAAAATAAAACCACAAACGATTGTAGTCTACTGATTGAACAACCATGCATGCAAGTTTAGGTATTACTGTGTTATGTTCTATGGTATAGATCAGGGGTCTGCAACGTTTTCTAGCATGAGAGCTACTTAAATAAAATGAAACGAGCTACTCATTTTTTTCTAGCTTTCAAATAGGTACATTCTCCTCTCCCCTGCAACTTCCCCGGGTCCTTAGTGTACAAGAGAAAGTAGTGCACAATGTTTTCTGTCAATATACCTAGTAAAATAATGGTTAATTAAACAACTCTAAGGGGGCCCTATAGAATCTGTGATTTTTTCCCCCAAATTATGTTTTCTATTTTCCCAAATTATGTTTTCTCCATTTTATTTTTCCTGGTTTTAGATTTTTGGGGGTTTTCACTCTCAAAATTACAATTGTGTCACGACTTCCGCCGAGGCTGCCTCCCCTCCTTGTTCGGGCAGGTTTCGGCGTTCGTCGTCACCGGCTTACTAGCTACTGCCGCTCCCATTCTCATCAATCCACTTGTCTTGTCTTGTCAATCACACACACCTGGTGCTCATCCCCTAATCAGTCTGTGTATAAGTGTTCCCTCTGCCCCCTTGTCTTTGTGAGTGATTGCGCTATGTGGGAGGAGAGTAGCTTGGTTGAGATACTCTCTCATTTATTTAGCCAGGGTTGATTTTCCCCTGTGTCATTACATTTATTGTGTTTTCTGAGACTGTGTTTGGTCAGGGAGGATTGTTTCCCCTGTACCTGTTTCAATTGCCGTTGTAGGCGCATTGTATGTCTGGAAGGAATAAATCTGCATCCGGTTATTTTACTATGACTCTGTCCATCATTCACCACAAATTGTTCATAGAGAAACAACAAAATCAGATATTCTGAGTCGATGTCACATCAGAAGACAATTTTTTTAGGTCTGGAGGAAAACTAACACATTTTGATTGAATTGCGCATCTGGCCCTTTAATTGCGCAATGTTCTGTCTAATGTGCTGGTCTAGGGATGGTTCTGTACTGCTGCTGCTCACATCATGGCAAAGTTTGCAAATAACAAATAATCCATACAAATGTACTTCCTCATGATATACTTCTGCCAGGTAGGCTAAGCCTACTTTGCAGTTAACATTTAATTGAGAAGGTTTGGAGGAAAGTAGATCTGTCAACCAACAAGATGGCTATCACATCAACCGGCTACTATCAAATCAAATCAAATTTTATTGGTCACATACACATATTTAGTGTATTCCTACACTTGTGTTCCTAGCTCCAACAGTGCAGTAGTATCTAACAATTCACAACAATACACAAATCTAAAAGTAAAATAATAGAATTAAGAAATATATAAATATTAGGACGAGCAATGTTGGAGTGGTATTGACTAAAATACAGTAGAATAGAATACAGTACAGTTGAAGTCGGAAGTTTACATACACTTAGGTTGGAGTCATTAAAACTCGTTTTTCAACCACTCCACAAATGTCTTGTTAACAAACTATAGTTTTGGCAAGTCGGTTAGGACATCTACTTTGTGCATGACACAAGTAATTTTTACAACAATTGTTTACAGACAGATTATTTCACTTATAATTCACTGTATCACACCAGAAAAGGATGTCATGGCGTTAGAAGCTTCTGATAGGCTAATTGACATCATTTGAGTCAATTGGAGGTGTACCTGTGGATGTATTTCAAGGCCTACCTTCAAACTCAGTGCCGCTTTGCTTGACATCATGGGAAAATCAAAAGAAATCAGCCATGACCTCAGAAAAAAAATGGTCGACCTCCACAAGTCTGGTTCATCCTTGGGAGCAGTTTCCAATCGCCTGAAGGTACCACGTTCATCTGTACAAACAATAGTACGCAAGTATAAACATCATGGGACCACGCAGCCATCATACTGCTCAGGAAGGAGATGTGTTCTGTCTCCTAGAGATGAACGTACTTTGGTGCGAAAAGTGAAAATCAATCACAGAACAACAGCAAAAGACCTTGTGAAGATGCTGGAGGAAACAGGTACAAAAGTATCTATATCCACAGTAAAACAAGTCTTATATCGACATAACCTAAAAGGCCGCTCAGCAAAGAAGAAGCCACTGCTCCAAAACCGCCATAAAAAAGCCAGACTACGGTTTGCAACTGCACATGGGGACAAAGATCGTACTTTTTGGAGAAATGTCCTCTGGTCTGATGAAACAAAAATAGAACTGTTTGGCTATAATGACCATCGTTATGTTTGGAGGAAAAAGGGGGCTGCTTGCAAGCCGAAGAACACTATCCCAACCGTGAAGCACGGGGGTGGCAGCATCATGCTGTGGGGGTGCTTTGCTGCAGGAGGGACTGGTGCACTTCACGAAATGAGGAAGGATTATGTGGATATATTGAAGTAACATCTCAAGACATCAGTCAGGAAGTTAAAGCTTGGTCGCAAATGGCTCTTCCAAATGGACAATGACCCCAAGCATACTTCCAAAGTTGTGGCACAATGGCTTAAGGACAACAAAGTCAAGGTATTGGAGTGGCCATCACAAAGCCCTGACCTCAATCCTATAGAAAATTTGTGGGCAGAACTGAAAAAGTGTGTGCGAGCAAGGAGGCCTACAAACCTGACTCAGTTACACCAGCTGTGTCAGGAGGAATGGGCCAAAATTCACCCAATTTATTGTCGGAAGCTTGTGGAAGGCTACCCCGAAACGTTTGACCTAAGTTAAACAATTTAAAGGCAATGCTACCAAATACTAATTGAGTGTATGTAAACTTCTGACCCACTGGGAATGTGATGAAAGAAATAAAAGCTTAAATAAATCATAATCTCTACTATTATTCTGACATTTCACATTCTTAAAATAAAGTGGTGATCCTAACTGACCTAAAACAAGGAATTTTTACTAGGATTAAATGTCAGGAATTGTGAAAAACTGAGTTTTAAATGTATTTGGCTAAGGTGTATGTAAACTTCAGACTTCAACTGTATATACATATGAGATGAGTAAAGCAGTATGTAAACATTATTAAAGTGACTAGTGTTCCATTATTAAAGTGGCCAGTGATTCCATGTCTATGTATATAGGGCAGCAGCCTCTAAGGTGCAGGGTTGAGTATACGGGTGGTAGCTGGCTAGTGATGGCTATTTAACAGTCTGATGGCCTTGAGATAGAAGCTGTTTTTCAGTCTCTCAGTCCCAGCTTTGATGCTGTACTGTACTGACTTCGCCTTCTGTATGATAGTGGGGTGAACAGGCCGTGGCTTGGGTGGTTGATGTCCTTGATGATCTTTTTGGCCTTCCTGTGACATTAGCATATTTACTGAGAAAGGCAACCTCTGCTGTACATCTACAGTATTGGCACTGTGTTTTTGAAGTAGAGAGAGGACAGAGATTACAAGTCTTTGTATCATTAGATTAGATGATAGAAGGTAGAATATAAAGTGCATTCAGAAAGTATTCAGACCCCTTGACTTTTTCCACATTTTGTTACGTTACAGCCTTATTCTAAAATGGATTAATGTTTTCTTCTTCTCATCAATCTACACAAAATACTTGATCATGACAAAGCAAAAATAGGTTTTTATAATTTTTTGTTAACTTATTACAAATACAAATCTGAAATATCACATTTACATAAGTATACAGACCCTTTACTGAGTACTTTGTTGAAGCACCTTTGGTAGCGATTACAGCTTCGAGCCTTCTTGGGTATGACGCTACAAGCTACAAGGCACATCTGTATTTGGGGAGTTTCTCCTATTCATCTCTGCAGATCCTCTAAAGCTCTGTCCGGTTGGATGGGGAGCGTCGCTGCACAGTTATTTTCAGGTCTCTCCAGAGATGTTCGATCGGATTCAAGTCCGGGCTCTGGCTGGGCCACTCAAGGTCATTCAGAGACTTGTCCCGAAGCCACTCCTGCATTGTCTTGGCTGTATGCTTAGGGTCGTTGAAGGTGAACCTTTGCCCCAGTCTGAGGTCCTGAGCGCTCTGGAGCAGGTTTTCATCAAGGATCTCTCTGTACTTTGCTCCATTAATCTTCCCTTCGATCCTGCTAGTCTCCCAGTCCCTGTCGCTGAAAAACATCCCCAAAGCATGATGCTGCCACCACCATACTTCACCGTAGGGATGGTGCCAGATTTCCTCCAGACGTGACTCTTGGCATTCAGGCCAAAGAGTTCAATCTTGGTTTCATCAGACCAGAGAATCTTGTTTCTCATAGTCTGTGTCCTTTAGGTGCCTTTTGGCAAACTCCAAGCGGGCTGTCATGTGCGTTTTACTGAGGAGTCTCTTCCGTCTGGCCACTCTACCATAAAGACCTGATTGGTGGAGTGCTGCAGAGATGGTTGTCCTTCTGGAAGTTTCTCCTATCTCCACAGAGGAACTCTGAAGCTCTGTTAGAGTGACCATCGGGTTCTTGGTCACCTCCCTGACCAGGGACCTTCTCCCCCGATTGCTCAGTTTGGCCAGGCGGCCAGCTGAGTCTTGGTGGTTCCAAACTTCTTCCATTTAAGAATGATGGAGGCCACTGTGTTCTTGGGGACCTTCAATGCTGCAGAAATGTTTTGGTACCCTTTCCCAGATCTGTGCCTCGACACAATCCTGTCTCGGAGCTCTACGGACAATTCCTTCGATCTCATGGCTTGGTTTTTGCTCTGACATGAACTGAACCTGTCTTGCAGACACTGTTAGCAATACATTTTTCTAAATTGGGAAATCAAATCAGAAATGATTGTGTTAATCACTGATAGATGCTAGACAGAGAGACAGGCAGACAGACAGACAGACAGAAAGGACAGACAGACAATGTCAACCACTTTATGAAGCCAGTTCATCACTGAGGGGAAAAAATAACAACACAGTAATAACTACACAGTCAAACATGTGGACACTTGAGCAATGGCATCATCACTTTCATGATCACAACTCACCTTGGGTCGTCACTAGAACAAAGATAAAATGAATACCATCAGTTTTGTCCAACATATCTGAATAAATATTGTATTACTAATGCAGAGTAATCCTTATATGCTTGCAATAATATTTTTTACTTACATCTCAAATGTTCATTTACAATGGCGTCCTCTGTTACTTTAGCTAAATAATTTTTTTTAAACAATGTTTGTTTAATCATAGAATTTAAGTGCACTAGAAGTTGGAATACTACAGACTAAATATGTAATTTGTATTTGTATTTGTATTTATCATGGATCTCCATTAGCTGCTGCCAGGCAGACCAGCAAAATTAAGGCAGTTCATACAATTTTAAAAACATTACAATACATTCACAGATTTCACAACACACTGTGTGCCCTCAGGCCCCTACTCCACCACTACCACATCTCTACAGTACAGAAATCCATGTGTACGTGTGTGTATAGTGCGTATGTTATCGTGTGTGTGTATGCATATGTCTGCGCCTATGTTTTTGTTAATTCACAGTCCCCGCTGTTCCATAAGGTGTTTTTTTTATCTGTTTTTTAAATCTAATTTGACTACTTGCATCAGTTACTTGATGTGGAATAGAGTTCCATGTAGTCATGGCTCTATGTAGTTCTGTGCGCCTCCCATAGTTTATTCTGGACTTGGGGACTGTGAAGAGACCTCTGATGGCATGTCTTGTGGGGTATGCATGGGTGACCTAGCTGTGCGCCAGTAGCTCAAACAGACAGCTCGGTGCACCCAACATGTCTACACCTCTCATAAACCAAGTAGTGATGTAGTCAATCTCTCCTCCACTTTGAGCCAGGAGAGATCGACATGCATATTATTAATATTAGCTCTCTGTGTACATCCAAGGGCCAGCCATGCTGCCCTGTTCGGAGCCAATTGCAATTTTTTTGTGGCACCTGACCACACGACTGAACAGTAGTCCAGGTGTGACAAAACTAGGGCTTGTAGGACCTGCCTTGTTGATAGTGCTGTTAAGAAGGTAGAGCAGCGCTTTATTATGGACATACTTCTCCCCATCTTAGCTACTAATGTATCAATATGTTTTGATCATGACAGTTTACAATCCAGGGTTACTCCAAGCAGTTTAGTCACCTCAACTTGCTCAATTTCCACATGATTTATTACAAGATTTAGTTGAGGTTTAGGGTTTAGTGAATGATTTGTCCCAAATACAATGCTTCTAGTTTTAGAAATATTTAGGACTAACTTAGTCCTTGCCACCCACTCTGAAACTAACTGCAACTCTTTGTTAAGTGTTGCAATCATTTCAGTCGCTGTAGTAGCTGACATGTATAGTGTTGCGTCATCCGCATACATAGACACTCTGGCTTTACTCAAAGCCAGTGGCATGTCATTAGTTTGAAAAAGGTAATGGGCCTAGACAGCTGCCCTGGGAAATTCCTGATTCTACCTGGACTATGTTGGAGAGGTTTCCATTAATGAACACCCTCTGTGTTCTGTTAGACAGGTAACTCTGTATCCACAATATAGCAGGTGGAGTAAAGCCATAACACATACGTTTTTCCAGCAGCAGTCTATGATCGAAAATGTCAAAAGCCGCACTGAAGTCTAACAAAACATCCCCCACAATCTTTTTATTATCGATATCTCTCAGCCAATCACCAGTCATTTGTGTAAGTGCTGTGCTTGTTGAATGTCCTTCTCTATAAGCATGCTGAAAGTTTGTTGTCAATTTGTTTACTGTAAAATAGCATTGTATCTGGTCAAACACCATTTTTTCCAATAGTTTACTTAAGGTTGGTAACAGGCTAATTGGTCAGCTATTTGAGCCAGTAAAGGGGGCTTTACTATTTTTAGGTAGCGGAATTACTTTTGCTTCCCTCCAAGCCTGAGGGCACACACATTCTAGTAGGCTTAAATTGAAAATATGGCAAATAGGAGTGGCAATATCGTACGCTATTATCCTCAGTAATTTTCCATCCAAGTTGTCAGATGTAATAGATGTGTGGAGTCTTTAATGTGTCTTTAATTATTGGGTAGGGCAATGAGAACCCCTCCTGTTGATCACTGTTTTGGGTACAGAAATAAATATTATGATCTTTGGATCTAGCTTTCTGTTTCAAGAATTTACAATCACCACACAGTGTCACATGCAATTAAATCACCCAGAAAAGACAGTGGTGGAGGGGAGAGAAACAGAGAGGAAGAGGACAAAGGCAAACAAGTAAAGTTATAACACGACTCACCCAGGGCCTCTTGAATCTTCTTCACTCCTCTGGGTAATGACATCCTATTTTTCTTGGTTTTACGTTTTCCATCTAAAGATATAAAACAGGGAGGTCGTGTCAACTGAGTCAGTCACTCAAGGATCTCCTGTAGCCTACCCTGTAACACTGTTATCATAATCACATGACTATATCCTGTGTGTCATGCTGCATGTAGTGAGCTATGTCATACTCACCAGATTCAGTTAGCAGCAGACATGCCACCACCAGCATCACGATTAGCATTGATTTCATCCTAGTACTGTGATACTTTGCATACCTCCTGCTTATTCTGGTGACTTATATTCTAGTTCTGTCCCTTTTCTCCTCCCCTCACCCTCTACTTTTTATTGCCCTCATCAAACCCCCAAAGACAAAGGGATAACTACCAGTTTTCAGCTTTGTGTGTGTTTTGGTGAAATATGGTAATCACAGTTAAAACCTGCCATCAGTTAATCATATGCTGTCATTACAGGTTGTAATCACCTCTTACAATGGGTGTGGCCCTCTTTTGGGTTGCATTCAGCAGACACCCAATTGAGGGAAAATGTTTTCAGCAAAAAGAAAATACTTTACACCGCAATTGATGCTCGCCTTTCCTGTTGACAGAATTATATTTTAATGTCCATGTCACGCCCTGGCTCTGGGGACTATGTTATGTTGAGCCAGGGTGTGTAGTCTATGTTTGTATATCTATGTTGGCCTGAGTGACTCCCAATCAGAGGCAACGAGTGTCAGCTGGTTGTCTCTGATTGGGAGCCATATTTAACTATCGGTCTTTTCACTTTGTGTTGTGGTTTCTTGTTCTCATTTTGGTTTGTTTATGTAACCAGAGACATCACGTTTTCGTCAGTTATTTTGATCGTGTGATCAGTCTAATAAATACTATGTTCACTTTCAACGCTGCGCCTTGGTCCTCCTCATTAGACGATCGTGACAGTCCAGAACCAACTCAAAGTCTGTTTCGATCTTAAATGCAGAAAATGTTTCAAACAATAGGCCTATAGGAGGTACAACCTGAGGTTTCTTCGATGAAGGAAAACTGCACCACGAGTGTCAGAATTCAAGCCTCTTCCTCCAGCTGTGCCGATTTTAAAAGGAGACCACCCAGATTTGAGGCCTTGATTGGAAGACTGCACTGAATTTAACTGACATAATCTCTACCTGATATGTGGTACCATGCAATCATGAGAAACATGTCAGTCACTACTAGGGATTATGCAATAGGTGTACAGTAATTGTTGTGATAGAGATGGGGGAAATGTCATCACATTTTTTACATTTTAGTCATTTAGCAGACGCTCTTATCCAGAGCAAAACATTTTTTCATACTGGCCCCCCGTGGGAATCGAACCCACGACCCTTGGGTTGCAAACGCCATGCTCTACCAACTGAGCTACACGGGACTAATCAACTCCAAATATGCAAACTGAAATTGTATAAGAAGCACCCACACACACACACTTCACCTAATATTTTTAGGTTTTAGAAAAATAAAAGTCAGCTGTCAAATGTTTATTTACATTGTATTGTACCAAAATACATTTAGTTAAAGGTGTAGACGGCTTTTAGTACAGACAGACATTTACCAATGGAAGTATACAATACAGTATAGTACAATACAGTACAGGTGACCATAAGAAACAAGGGTACAGATGATCCAGAGCAGGCATGGCGGCTGGAGTATGGGGGTGGCATCCTCTGCAGGGAGTTACAGGTAATCAGAAGAAACCAATAGGGTCATTGTGAGCTTTGGGATTCTGGACACCATTCAGCTCCAGTTTCCCGCCAGCGTGGGGTAGTGTTTTATGGACGCACAGGTGCATAAATTCATCTCCACCAACATGGACCTATGAGAAAGGGAAGGATTAGGGTCCAATGAGTGATCCATAGGTGATGGAGAGACGGGACTCTCAAGGCTCATATGTACTGAGTAATGACCAGTTTGTTTAGTGTCTACAAAGCTCTTCCAGTACATGTTCACTCCCTATACATTTTTACATTTACATTACATTTACATTTACGTCATTTAGCAGACGCTCTTATCCAGAGCGATCTTTAACACAGCCTAATGCTTTGAAACCCATACAGGGGTTGTGAGGGTGTGGCAGGGAGTCACAGCTCTCACAGAGCTTGAAGACAAAATCAAGACTCAATGTAGTGCAGGGGTCTCCAAAAGGTTGTTTACTAGCTACCAATAGCTCGCAGACCACCTATGAGTAGCTGGCCAAACAATTCTGAAAGGTACATGCAACCTTTTTGCCCGCACTGGCGACTGCAGACGGCTATATCAGTCCGCTAATACAGGACTAGTAAAGCCCCAGTGCACTACTTTTGTGAAAAATGATTTTTTTTCAAAAATGTATTTACATTATTTTCTTTAATATGGGATCATCAGATCATGATATTTTGCTCTTTCACACCGAGGCTTGGTGATGATCAAGGTGGGGAGTGTTGGAAAGATTTTTCAAATACTGAGGAACTATTATTCGCAATGGATGGCGCCGGAGGAGATGGCTGCTGTTTTACGGCCCCCTGACCAATTGTGCTATTGTGTGTGTTTTTTCGCATTATTTGTAAATTATTCTGTACATAATGTTTCTGCCACTGTCTCTTATGACCAAAAAGAGCTTCTGGATATCAAGACAACGATTACTCACCTCGTATTTGACGAAGATTTGTTCTTCAACGAGTCGGACACTAAGGAGTTTCTACAGACACCCTACAAGGCCCAAATCCCTGTCATTCGCATGAGAAAGAGACAGAGATATCGTGGACGTGGGTCGGGGTGCCTTGTAAGGATCCGACGGCGAATAAGTAATCAGCCTCGTCCATTAGTCCTATTAGCCAACGTACAATCATTGGAAAACAAAATGGACAACCTAAGACCAACGGGACATTAAAAACTGTAATATCTTATGTTTCACCGAGTCGTGGCTGAACGATGACACGGATAACATACAGCTGGCGGGATATACGCTACATCGGTAGCAAAGAACGGCTGACTCTGGTAAGACAAGGGGTGGTCTGTGTATATTTGTTAACAACAGCTGGTACACGAAATCTAGACTTTTCTTCTATATTTTTCGTAGCTGTCTATTTACCACCACAAACCGATGCTGGCACTAAGATTGCACTCAATGAGCTATATAAGGCCATAAGCAAACAGGAAAACGCTCATCCAGAGGCAGCGCTCCTAGTGGCCGGGGACTTTAATGCAGGGAAACTTAAATCCATTCTACCTAATTTCTACCAGCATGTTAAAAGTGCAACCAGAGACCACCTTTACTCCACACACAGAGACGCGTACAAAGCTCTCCCTCGCCCTCCATTTGGCAAATCTGACCATAATTATATCCTCCTGATTCCTGCTTATAAGCAAAAACTAAAGCAGGAAGCACCAGTGACTCGGTTAATAAGGAAGTGGTCAGATGATGCAGATGCTAAGCTACAGGACTGTTTTGCTAGCACAGACTGGAATATGTTCCGGGATTCTTCCAATAGCATTGAGGAGTACACCACATCAGTCACTGGCTTCATCAATAAGTGCATCGATGACGTCGTCCCCACAGCGACCGTACGTACATACCCCAACCAGAAGCCATGGATTACAGGCAACATCCACACTGAGCTAAAGGGTAGAGCTGCCGCTTTCAAGGAGCGGGACTCTAACCCGGACGCTTATAAGAAATCCTGCTATGCCTTCCGACAAACTATCAAACAGGCAAAGAGTCAATACAGGACTAAGATTTAATCGTACTACACCGGCTCCGACACTCGTTGGATGTGGCAGGGCTTGCAAACTATTACAGACTACAAAGGGAAGCACAGCCGTGAGCTGCCCAGTGACACGAGCCTACCAGACGAGCTAAATCACTTTTATGCTCGCTTCGAGGCAAGCAACACTGAAGCATGCATGAGAGCATCAGCTGTTCTGGATGACTATGTGATCACGTTCTCCGTAGCCGATGTGAGTAAGACTTTTAAGCAGGTCAACATTCACAAGGCCGCAAGGCCAGACGGATCACCAGGACGTGTACTCCGAGCACGCGCTGACCAACTGGCTAGTGTCTTCACTGACATTTTCAACATGTCCCTGACTGAGTTTGTAATACCAACATGTTTCAAGCAGACCACCATAGTCCCTGTGCCCAAGAACACTAAGATAACCTGCCTAAATGACTACCGACCCGTAACACTCATGTCTGTAGCCATGAAGTGCTTTGAAAGGCTGGTCATGGCTCACATCAACACCATTATCCCAGAAACCTACACCCACTCCAATTTGCATACCGCCCCAACAGATCCACAGATGATGCAATCTCTATTGCATTCCACACTACCCTTTCCCACCTGGACAAGAGGAACACCAACGTGAGAATGCTATTCATTGACTATAGCTCAGCGTTCAACACCATAGTGCCCTCAAAGCTCCTCACTAAGCTAAGGACCCTGGGACTAAACACCTCCCTCTGCAACTGGATCCTGGACTTCCTGACGGGCCGCCCCCAGGTGGTAAGGGTAGATAACAACACATCTGCCACGCTGATCCTCAACACGGCGGCCCCTCAGGGGTGCGTGCTCAGTCCCCTCCTGTACTCCCTGTTCACCCATGACTGCATGGCCAGGCACGACTCCAGCACCATCATTACGTTTGCCGACGACACAACAGTAGTAGGCCTGATCACCGACAACGATGAGACAGCCTATAGGGAGGAGGTCAGAGACCTGGCCATGTGGTGCCAGGATAACAACCTCTCCCTCAACATGATCAAGACAAAGGAGATGATTGTGCACTACAGGAAAAAAAAGAGGACTGAGCACGCCCCCATTCTCATCGACGGGGCTGTAGTGGAACAGGTTGAGAGCTTCAAGTTCCTTGGTGTCCACATCACCAACAAACTATCATGGTCCAAACACACCAAGACAGTCATGAAGAGGGCACGACAAAGCCTATTCCCCCTCAGGAGACTGAAAAGATTTGGCATGGGTCCTCAGATCCTCAAAAAATTCTACAGCTGCACCACCGAGAGCATCCTGACTGATTGCATCACCGCCTGGTATGGCAACTGCTCACCCTCCAACCGCAAGGCACTACAGAGGGTAGTGCGTAAGGCCCAGTACATCACTGGGGCCAAGTTTCCTGCCATCCAGGACCTCTATACCAGACAGTGTCAGAGGAAGGCCCTCAAAATTGTCAAATACTCCAGCCACCCTAGTCATAGCCTGTACTCTCTGCTACCGCACGGCAAGCGGTACCGGAGCGCCAAGTCTAGGTCCAAAAGACTTCTTAACAGCTTCTACCCCCAAGCCATAAGACTCCTGAACAGCTAATCATGGCTACCCGGACTATTTGCACTGCCCCCCTACCCCCACCCCCCACCCCATCTTTTTACGCTGCTGCTACTATGTTAATTATTTATGCATAGTCACTTTAACTCTACCCACATGTACATATTACTTCAACTACCTCAACTAGCCGGTGCCCCCGCACATTGACTCTGCACCGGTACCCCCCTGTATATATAGCCTCCCTACTGTTATTTTATTTTACTTCTGCTCTTTTTTTCTCAACACTTTTTTGTTGTTTTATTTTACTTTTTTATTAAAAAATAAATGCACTGTTGGTTAAGGGCTATAAGTAAGCATTTCACTGTAATGTCTGCACCTGTTGTATTCGGCGCATGTGGCCAATAAAATGTGATTTGATTTGATTTGATCTGGTACCACAGACTCATGACCACAACATACTTCCTTTACCCAAACAACATACTTCCTTTACCCAAACAGCCATTAGTCACCTGAGCAGAAATGCAACTTGTAAAGACTGGTGGTATATTTGTACTCTTGCTTCGACAGTTCCTTCCCCTGTGATGATTTTTGTTTTTATATTTATTTCATCATGAACTTTGCTGTATAGTTCAGTGTAACTAGAATTCTATAGGAAGTAAATTATTGTTTTGTACACATGTAAATAAAGTGTGTAGATGTAAAGACTTAAACTAAAGGAGGAATCAGAACTGTTATGGATGTACAAAAAATATATAATAAAAGCAAAGTATTTTACATGAATGTTTGTGTTTTTAATAATTGACCAACATGTATGTAATTGTCAGCTAATAACTGCAAGGAGTAGGATAACATTTTCAATAGAATGATGGTACACCAAGGTTGCTTTTAGAGCTGGGTTTATATTACATTTGATTAATTTACACTTCTGAAGCAGCTTACATTACATCTTAGGATCAGAGGTATTAAATATCCAACATATTCTAGTCATCTGAAGAGTAAAATGACTGACAAACTGAAAAAGCACTAGACAGTATTTCATTGGAGCAAGTCAGGGAAGTGAGAAACTAACAGAGGTTACAGCTACACTGGGTGTCAGTAGGCAATTCAGCTACAGGTTAAGGCGGAGCCTGATGGGTCCCTGGAGCTAAATGAGGTTCCTGGTTGCCACAGTTGCCATGGGTCTACCCATCGAGTAGCAATGCCATGCAGACGGATCAAGGGAGCATGTTTTGAAAGTAAAAAACATGGATGAAATTACGCAGCAGGACACTCATCTGCAGAAAGAGAGAAATAAGGTTGACACTTCTATCCAGAAATATTGTCCAACTTAAACACACTTCACAAACAGAGATGGGATGTACCGTTTTTGGGGAGGATAGCGATGTTTTCAGGCATTGTGCCAGTGTCCAGGGAGAACTGCCTAAACTTCTGCAGCAGGTCAGGGCTCAGGTCTGTCCCACGGGCTGTAGACACAACACATGTAGTACATGGCAGACTAAATATACTATGAAGGATACAATATCATTTCTAATAAAAGATTGCTAAATGATGGGGAAAGGAATAGTGAAATAATGAGACTGAGTTATAGGATTTAACAGAGGAGTGGAAAGGATCTTACTATACAGGTTGGTGAGCACAGCTGAAACACCCTTGGTCTTGGTGTGAATAAGAGCATACTCGTCATACTTAACATCAACGACACGCATGTCATTTTCATTATTCCAGCCTAGAGAGTGACGAGAGGGAGATGAATTGACAATATCATACATAGGCCCATTAGTGCACTGTGTGTATGTGTTTATAGGTTCTAGACTTACGCTCGCTCTTGTAGATGAATTTCCCCGGAAGGTTTGTCTTCTCAGCCAGGTGGTTCATTCTCCAGCAGGAGCCATCAGCGCTACAGAGACAATACAGTTCATACAGTATCAGCACAACATCTCTCTCTTTCTCTCTTACTTCCGGCTAGCATATGCCATTTCCAGGTCTCCGTCAGCAGTTGGTGTCAGTATGGCGGTGCCCATCTTCATGCTGGCCTTGTGGTTGATGAACCACTGGGCATTAGTGGCAAATCCAACCAGGTACCATTTTCCTGCCACCTGCAAAAACCAGCCCTGATTAGATTACATAATCTCCTCATTCCTGTCGGCAGGGGTCACAGAAAGTTTAAACCTTAAATCTGTGAGAGCTGATACTGAAATTTTTCCTGAATCATTCATGAATGAAACACCCAACAATGTGTCACTAGAATTCCCACATTTCTCTTCATCCCTTCCATTTGTATCTTGTTTTCATCACAGTTTTCTTTCTGTATTTCTTCTCCTCCTGTTTCTTTTTTCTCCATAACAATCCCTAGTTTGGTCCTCGTCATTAGATTTTTAATGTAACCCTGATTTCTAGTTCATCCCTCTCTCCAGTCTCTCTCTTACCCCTTGTAGATTGAAGTCTCCTTGGGGCATAACCTCAGCGGTGACAACCAAGGAGCAGAGCAGTGCTCCTAGTGCTCTCAGCAGTATGGTCGTCATGGCTACAGCAGAGCAGGGTCAGTATCATTAATTATAAAGGACAGAATATAATATCTGTTTTTCTTTGCTGCCTCTCACTCCTATATATACTGTAGAGCATGGGCTTACATAAACACCCCCCTCCCATACACACACAAGCTGCTACCTGCTACCATCTCTATCCCCTGCCCCTTAGAGACACACACACACCAGTTACACAATACCCTTGGGTGGAGATGGGGCTTATGGGGTTACTCCTCCTTCTGTAGAACACTGGAGGTTCCACATAAAGGAACGTCATGAACTGCATTTTGAGATGATGAGAGAGAGCGTTCATCAAAGTGCAAGTACATAATACACATTTCATCTCAAATAAGTTCAAATAACTTTAGAAAATATACAATGAGTTGCCTTGGTGATTGTCAGCAGGTTATGAGTGTGTATGTAATATGTGTGTGCATGTGAAGTGGGCTGAAAGCTCTTGTAAGCATCAGCCCATCAATTTAGAAAATAAAATACAGCAGCAAAAATAGGTAGACAGTGATAAACAAAGCAGTATCTGCCCCTCCAGTGCTTTCTGTGGGCAGGAACTAGAGAATCAAATCTAACTGTCAGCATTTTAGATGGTAAACAGAGCTCCACCTAACACACAATCCCTGTATCTGATTTCGTGTGTGTGAGTGTGTGTGTGTGTGTGGTTTAATGTGAAATGTAACTATCAGTGTTAAACCTTGCTTGAAAAGGAAGTGCAAGCCTTCATGTAATCATATCTCAGGTCAACACAATGTTTAAGGTATAGTCAACAAAAAATACAACCTACCATGATTTTCCACATACCTTTTGAGTGGTATATCCCTTTAAATATTATACTGGTTCGGGCAAGTAATCCTTATATAAGTTCTAAGAAATGATTTTCCAGTTGGTAATTTTCCACTCTTTTGGCAGTCGGAGGCGGCAGACATACTGTGATGAAACACCTGAAACAGGTGTAGGCAAGTCTATGTATAACAGACACACCTACAGCTTATATACTGTATCTTGCCAGTTGAAACAGTGGTCTCGAAACATATAAATATTCAATCCAATACTAAGAAATCTAACCAATAAATGTTCTAAGCATCTAATGACAATATTTGTGTGCTTATTTCAGGTGTGTAAATACAATCAAACCATGATTGAGGGGATAAGATAGTTTATCGGAACATTATTTTATTAACAAAAAATGTAATTCACTTTGTTAAGTTTAACATTAGGCTACCACTTGAAAATGTAATGACATGTATTACATTCCAAAAAATTAAACCACAAACGATTGTAGTCTACTGATTGAACAACCATGCATGCAAGTTTAGGTATTACTGTGTTATGTTCTATGGTATAGATTAACTAGTATGTGCTATGAGCAAGAAAACGGACAGTCATCAATTGTACTGGATGCCACTATGTTCATTCTGACAGATGGCAGACTCAGCTTGTGGATTGCACTGGGGAAGTTTCAAGATGTGTTACTGCAAGTCTTTTCACACCAGCTTTGCTCCCAGCTGTCCCATAGCAAATTTTATGAGAAAGGTGACCTCTGCTGTCCATCTACAGTATTGACACTGTGTTCTTGAAATAGAGAGAGGACAGAGGAGAGTACAAGTCTTTGTATGATTGGACTAGATGATAGAAGGTAAAACATATCTTACACAAGTTGTACTAAATAGGAGGGTACTCACTCATATAGTCTTTGGTACTCACCATCCTGTCAAGTCTAGCTTCAAATCCTTCATAAATGGCTGACTGTGTGGATAAAGGACAGGAGGGAAGCAAAATGAGGGAAACAATGCAGACAATCCTCCACTCTAAGATGTTCATATAGAATGAACAAGATGTGTAGTTGACAGTATGTTTATGTTGTCTTCATACAGTTATTCTTAATTGTACCATGCTCACCTGTCTTGCAGACACCGTTAGCAATACCTTTTCCTAAATTGGGAAATCAAATCAGAAATTATTGTGTTAATCACTGATAGATGCTAGACAGAGAGACAGGCAGGCAGACAGACAGACAGACAGAAAGGACAGACAGAAAGGACAGACAGACAAAAAGACAGACAGATATTGCTCACCAACGTCAACCACTTTATGAAGCCAGTTCATCACTGAGGGGAAAAAATAACACAGTAATAACTACACAGTCAAACATGTGGACACTTGAGCAATGGCATCATCACTTTCATGATCACAACTCACCTTGGGTCGTCACTAGAACAAAGACAAAATAAATACCATCAGTTTTGTCCAAAATATCAGAATAAATATTGCATTACTAATGCAGAGTAATCCTTATATGCTTGCAATAATATTTTTTACTTACATCTCAAATGTTCATTTACAATGGCGTCCTCTGTTACTTTAGCTAAATAAAAAATAGTAAACAATGTTTGTTTAATCATAGAATTTAAGTACACTACAAGTTGGAAAACTACATACTAAATATGAATCAGTATGTTATAGATGTGTGGAGTCTTTAATGTGTCTTTAATAATTGGTTAGGGCAATAAGAACTCCTCCTGTTGATCACTGTTTTGGGTACAGAAATAAATGTGTTGCACTCACCCAGATCTTCGGATCTAGTTTTCTGTTTCAAAGTATTTACAATTCGATTAGGGTCTGCAACAGACACAGCCAACCACCTCATGAACGAATGAATGGCCAAAACACTTATTAAACATGTGGACATGATGTAACGTTTTAACATCAAAGCTCTCAATTCTTAATAAAGTTACAATCATCATACAGTGTCACATGCAATTAATCATGCAAGGAATCACCCAGAAAAGACAGTGGTGGAGGGGAGAGAAACAGAGAGGAAGAGGACAAAGGCAAGCAAGTAAAGTTATAACACGACTCACCCAGGGCCTCTTGAATCTTCTTCACTCCTCTGGGTAATGACATCCTATTTTTCTTGGTTTTACGTTTTCCATCTAAAGATATAAAACAGGGAGGTCGTGTCAACTGAGTCAGTCACTCAATGATCTCCTGTAGCCTACCCTGTAACACTGTTATCATAATCACATGACTATATCCTGTGTGTCATGCTGCATGTAGTGATCTATGTCATACTCACCAGATTCAGTCAGCAACAGACATGCCACCACCAGCATCACGATTAGCATTGATTTCATCCTAGTACTGTGATACTTTGCATACCTCCTGCTTATTCTGGTGACTTATATTCTAGTTCTGTTCCTTTTCTCCTCCCCTCACCCTCTACTTTTTATTGCCCTCATCAAACCCCCAAAGACAGAGGGATAACTACCAGTTTTCAGCTTTGTGTGTGTTTTGGTGAAATATGGTAATCACAGGTAAAACCTGCCATCAGTTAATCCTATGCTGTCATTACAGGTTGTAATCACCTCTTACAATGGGTGTGGCCCTCTTTTGGGTTGCATTCAGCAGACACCCAATTGAGGGAAAATGTTTTCAGCAAAAAGAAAAGACTTCACACCGCAATTGATGCTCGCCTTTCCTGTTGACAGAATGATATTTGAACGTCCAGAACCAACTCAAAGTCATTGCATGTGTGTTTGTTTTGATCTATTTAACTGACAGAATCCCTACCTGATGTGGTACCATACAATCATGGGAAACATGTCAGTCACTACTTGGGATTATTTAATAGGTGTACAGTAATTGCTGTGATAGATTAATTTAAATACCTCCAAAACACAAACACTGAAATATGCTAAGTGAAATTATACAACAAGCACTTCACTGAGTGTTTGTTTGTTTTGCAAAAATTGTCTGTCAAATGTTTATTTACATTGCATTGTAACAAAATACATTTAGTCAAAGGTGTAGACGGCTTTTACCAATGGAAGTATACAATACAGTATATTACACTACAATACAGTACAGGTGACCATAAGCAACAAGGGTACAGATGATCCAGAGCAGGCATGGCGGCTGGAGTATGGGGGTGGCATCCTCTGCAGGGAGTTACAGGTAATCAGAAGAAACCAATAGGGTCATGGTGAGCTTTGGGATTCTGGACACAATTCAGCTCCAGTTTCCCGCCAGCGTGGGGTAGTGTTTTATGGACGCACAGGTGCATAAATTCATCTCCACCAACATGGACCTATGAGAAAGGGAAGGATTAGGGTCCGATGAGTGATCCATAGGTGATGGAGAGACGGGACTCTCAAGGCTCATATGTACTGAGTAATGACCAGTTTGTTTAGTGTCTACAAAGCTCTTCCAGTACATGTTCACTCCCTATACATTTTTAACACAGCCTAATGCTTTGAAACCCATACAGGGGTGGTGAGGGTGTGGCTGGGAGTCACAGCTCTCACAGTGCTTGAAAACAAAATTATGACTCACTGTCGTACAGGGTTTCCCAAACTCGGTACACGTTTTGGTTTGTGCCCTAACACTACACAGCTATTTCAAATTATGAAAACTTTATGATTAGTTAGGGCAAAAAACAAAACCTGCACCGAGTTTGGGAAACACTGCTGTAGTGGAACCAATACATTTATTTTTGCTAAACATTGGCTAGAAAGCAGAGACAAAACGATTTTAAAATACACATTCTCACTTTAATGAAGAAGTTGGTCCCAGCCACAACTTGTGTTGTGAATGTTTTTGCGGTGAAAACATCAAATTTCTTTCCAGCTTTCTTCTCTACATGTGTCTTTATCTGGAAACATTTAAACGACAAATCAGGCAATGACTCGGTTGTTCCCACAGCATTCTACATTAACTCCATATAGCCTATGCACACCTAGAGTCCTATAGGTTTGACTTAGTGTTATTCCATTTGTGAGTAAATACTATCTAAGTCATTATTCAATAGCCGTCAAGATTGATGATTATGCCTTCACCAAGCTTGCATGAGTGTTATCTCTGTTGAAAGATTAGTATATTCAGTTGGACAGCTAAAAAAAGAGTGTTAAGTAAAGAAAATAGATAGACCTAGACTTGGCGCTCCGGTACCGCTTGCCGTGCGGTAGCAGAGAGAACAGTCTATAACTAGGGTGGCTGGAGTCTTTGATAATTTTTAGGGCCTTCCTCTGACACCACCTGGTATAGAGGTCCTGGATGGCAGGAACCTTGGCCCCGGTGGTGTACTGGGCCGTACGCACTATCCTCTGTAGTGCCTTGCGGTCGGAGGCTGAGCAGTTGCCATACCAGGCGGTGATGCAACCAGTCAGGATGCTCTCGATGGTGCATCTGTAGAACTTTTTGAGGATCTGAGGACCCATGCCAAATCTTTTCAGTCTCCTGAGGGGGAATAGGCTTTGTCGTGCCCTCTTCATGACTGTCTTGGTGTGTTTGGACCATGATAGTCTGTTAGTGATGTGGACACCAAGGGACTTGAAGCTCTCAACCTGTTCCACTACAGCCCCGGCGATGAGAATTGGGGCGTGCTCAGTCCTCTTTTTTTTCCTGTAGTCCACAATCATCTCATTTGTCTTGAGCACGTTGAGGGAGAGGTTGTTATCCTGACACCACATGGCCAGGTCTCTGACCTCCTCCCTATAGGTTGTCTCATCATTGTCGGTGATCAGGCCTACCACTGTTGTGTCGTCGGCAACCTTAATGATGGTGTTGGAGTCGTGCCTGGCCATGCAGTCATGGGTGAACAGGGAGTACAGGAGGGGACTGAGCACGCACCCCTGAGGGGCCCCCGTGTTGAGGATCAGCGTGGCAGATGTGTTGTTACCTACCCTTACCACCTGGGGGAGGCCCGTCAGGAAGTTGAGGATCCAGTTGCAGAGGGAGGTGTTTAGTCCCAGGGTCCTTAGCTTAGTGATGAGCTTTGAGGGCACTATGGTGTTGAATACTGAGCTATAGTCAATAAATAGCATTCTCACGTAGGTGTTCCTCTTGTCCAGGTGGGAAAGGGCAGTGTGGAGTGCAATAGAGATTGCATCATCTGTGGATCTGTTGGGGCGGTATGCAAATTGGAGTGGGTGTAGGTTTCTGGGATAATGGTGTTGATGTGAGCCATGACCAGCCTTTCAAAGCACTTCATGGCTACAGACATGAGTGTTACGGGTCGGTAGTAATTTAGGCAGGTTATCTTAGTGTTCTTGGGCACAGGGACTATGGTGGTCTGCATGAAACATGTTGGTATTACAGACTCAGTCAGGGACATGTTGAAAATGTCAGTGAAGACACTTGCCAGTTGGTCAGTGCATGCTCGGAGTACACGTCCTGGTAATCCGCCTTGTGAATGTTGACCTGTTTAAAGGTCTTACTCACATCGGCTACAGAGAGCTTGATCACATAGTCATCCGGAACAGCTGATGCTCTCATGCATGCTTCAGTGTTGCTTGCCTCGAAGCGAGCATAGAAGTGATTTAGCTCATCTGGTAGGCTTGTGTCACTGGGCAGCTCACGGCTGTGCTTCCCTTTGTAGTCTGTAATAGTTTGCAAGCCCTGCCACATCCGACGAGTGTCAGAGCCGGTGTAGTACGATTCAATCTTAGTCCTGTATTAACTCTTTGCCTGTTTGATGGTTCGTCGGAGGGCATAGCGGGATTTCTTATAAGCGTCCGGGTTAGAGTCCTGCTCCTTGAAGGCAGCAGCTCTACCCTTTAGCTCAGTGCGGATGTTGCCTGTAATCCATGGCTTCTGGTTGGGGTATGTACGTACGGTCACTGTGGGGACGACGTCATCGATGAACTTATTGATGAAGCCAGTGACTGATGTGGCGTACTCCTCAATGCTATCGGAAGAATCCCGGAACATATTCCAGTCTGTGCTAGCAAAACAATCCTGTAGCTTAGCATCTGCATCATCTGACCACTTCCTTATTAACCGAGTCACTGGTGCTTCCTGCTTTAGTTTTTGCTTATAAGCAGGAATCAGGAGGATAGAGTTATGGTCAGATTTGCCAAATGGAGGGCGAGGGACAGCTTTGTACACGTCTCTGTGTGTGGAGTAAAGGTGGTCTAGAGTTTTTTTCCCTCTGGTTGCACATTTAACATGCTGGTAGAAATTAGGTAGAACGGATTTAAGTTACCCTGCATTAAAGTCCCCGGCCACCAGGAGCGCTGCCTCTGGATGAGCGTTTTCCTGTTTGCTTATGGCCTTATACAGCTCATTGAGTGCAATCTTAGTGCCTGCATTGGTTTGTGGTGGTAAATAGACAGCTACAAAAAATATAGATGAAAACTCTCTTGGTACATAGTGTGGTCTACAGCTTATAATTAGATACTCTACCTCAGGCGAGTAAAACCGCAAGACTTCCTTAGTATTAGATTTTATGCACCAACTGTTGTTTACAAATATACACAGACCACCACCCTTTGTCTTACCGGAGTCAGCCGTTCTATCCTGCCGATGTAGCGTATATCCCGCCAGCTGTATGTTATCCATGTCGTCGTTCAGCCACGACTCGGTGAAACATAAGATATTACAGTTTTTAATGTCCTATTGGTAGGATAACCTTAGGTCGTCTAATTTATTTTCAAATGATTGAACATTGGCTAATAGGATTGATGGAAGAGGCAGTTTACTCGCCCGCCGTCGGATCCTTACAAGACACCCCGACCTACGTCCACGATATCTTTCTCATGCGAATGACGGGGATTTGGGCCTTGTCGGGTGTCTGTTGGATATCCTTTGCGTCCGACTCGTTGAAGAAAAAAATCTTTGTCCAATACGAGGTGAGTAATCGCTGTCCTGATATCCAGAAGCTCTTTTTGGTCATAAGAGACGGTGGCAGAAACATTATGTACAGAATAAATTACAAAAAATGAAAAAAACACACATAATAGTACAATTGGTTAGAGGGCTGTAAAACAGCTGCCATCTTTTTCGGCGCCATTCTGTATCCATGTCCATATTATGGCAAGAACAGCTCAAATAAGCAAAGAGAAACAACAGTCCATCATTACTTTAAGACATGAAGGTCAGTCAATCTGGAACATTTCAAGAACTTTGAAAGTTTCTTCAAGTGCAGTCACAAAAATCATCAAGCGCTATGATGAAACTGGCTCTCATGAGGACCACCACAGGAAAGGAATATGTGGGAACTCTTTCAAGACTGTTGGAAAAGCATTCCTCATGAAGCTGGTTGAGAGAATGCCAAGAGTGTGCAAAGCTGTCATCAAGGCAAAGGGTGGCTACTTTGAAGAATCTAAAATCTAAAATATCTTGATTTGTTTAACACTTTTTTGTTTACTACATGATTCCATATGTGTTATTTCATAGTTTTGATGTCTTCACTATTATTCTACAATGTAGAAAATAGTAAAAATAAAGAAAAACCCTTGAATGATTAGGTGTTCTAAAACTTTTGACTATTACTGTATATCAAACAAGTGCTTTTGTATTCCACAAGTATTATCAGATTAACTGTTTTGTACAGATAATTATCAGACTCAAGTTACAAATGCTGGTCAACATTCAAATACATCTAGTTAAAAAATATATTTAAAAAAGTAGTGCACTGGGCCTTTACTAGTCCTGTACTAGTCATGTACTAGCCAATGCCCCTGTGCACAAAGTGAGGTCCATACAGAAATGGTTTGTCGAGATCCTACAGAGGGTAGTGCGTACGGCCCAGTACATCACTGGGGCAAAGCTCCCTGCCATCCAGGACCTCTATACCAGGCGGTGTCAGAGGAAGGCCCTCAAAATTGTCAAAGACTCCAGTCACCCTAGTCATAGACTGTTCTCTCTGCTACCGCACGGCAAGCGGTACCGGAGTGCCAAGTCTAGGTCCAAAAGACTTCTCAACAGCTTCTACCCCCAAGCCATAAGACTCCTGAACAGCTAATCATGGCTACCCGGACTATTTGCACTGCCCCCCCACCCCATCCCTTTTACGCTGCTGCTACTCTGTTAAGTATTTATGCATAGTCACTTTAACTCTACCCACATGCACATATTACCTCAACTAGCCGGTGCCCCCGCACATTGACTATGCAACGGTACCCCCCTGTATATATAGCCTCCCTACTGTCACTTTATTCTATTGTATATATAGCCTCCCTACTGTCACTTTATTTTTTACTTCTGCTCTTTTTTTCTCAACACTTTTTTGTTGTTGTTTTATTCTTACTTTTTTGCGTTGTGGAAGAACTTGACTGGCCTGCACAGAGCCCTGACCCCAACCCCATCGAACACCTTTGGGATGAATTTGAACGCTGACTGTGAGCCAGACCTAATCGCCCTACATCGGTGCCTGACCTCACTAATGCTCTTGTGGCTGAATGGAAGCAAGTCCCCGCAGCAATGTTCCAACATCTAGTGGAAAGCCTTCCCAGAAGAGTGGAGGCTGTTATAGCAGCAAAGGGGGGACCAACTCCATATTAATGCCCATGATTTTGGGATGAGATGTTCGAAGAGCAGGTGTCCACATACTTTTGGTCATGTATGTGCAGATATGTGCACCACCTCATTACTCTCTCTCATTCTCTCTCTCCCTCTCTCTGTTGTGTCCACTGAGCTGTTGGGCATGCCCTGCAAACTCATTGGATAACGCTGCGCAGGCCTCTTACTAGCTGTCACTCAAAAGTGAAGGTTGAAGCTAATTGGCTAGAACTCTAATTGCTAGGGGTCTGGCCCATGTGGGGGAAAATGTCATAGCACAGCTTCAATAAAACAGTTGCTTTCAAACTAGGGATTTCGTGGCTAATTGAGGTAAAACAATAATTCTGCTTATATATTATGCTTGTATGAACTACACATAGACACATACAGCCCAAAGCTTGAGGTTTAAAAATACTTTCTTAGTCGCCAAAGTACTGGAGCATGTCTTTAACTTTTGGTTTAATGTGACTTGAAACTTCCGTTTTATTTAATAGGCTATCTCACTTGCATAGACTTGACTTTTTTTAAATATACAGTCATTGGGCTTGACAAGGGCAAGACACAGCCAGTGATAAAATGATGTCAAATGATGTGGCTTATTAACATCTTTATATGTGAAACTGTTTGAGTCACCAATGACCAACTTCAGGGCGGGGAGGGAAAACATGCACTTAGACACGTAGACCAATAGCTCTGGACATAGTTTCAGGCGACATTCAAAGATGCAAAAGATGCAGAAGATGCTTCTCGTAGTGTGCGCGCTGTCGCTACTACCGCTGCCACTGGTGGTCGTGGCAGAGGAGACGCACTGTGGTGGCACGCCCGACCGATTGTGTGATGTGAAACCTGGGGCATTCTACTACGAGGAGCCACCGACCACAGGTAGGCTATTTCTTGACTTGTGACAGTACGCTGCCCCGGTATTCCAACTAGTACTGTGCGCATTGTCTATTTTAAAATATGCCATGCACATTTCTAGCCAGGGTATCTGGGACACTATATCGAGACCAATATGCCTACAATTCACTAAATTGATGAAATTGAAAAGTGTGCTAAGTTGTAGAAAAGTCTGTTTGTATGAGTTCCAAAGAATCAGTAACTTGTGTAATGGAGGTCAATGACTGCTCAGTCATTTTTGACAAAGTGAAGGCCTTCAGTAGAGTGATGTGAACTCAAGATTTCACCACTGCCTAAATATTATTTTATTTTTGGCACAATTTCGCATGTACACTATATACTGTATACAAAAGTATGACACCCCTTCAAATTAGTGGATTTGGCTATTTCAGGCCACACCCGTTGCTGACAGGTGTATAAAATCTAGCACACAGCCATGCAATCTCCATAAACAAACATTGGCAGTAGAATGGCCTTACTGAAGACCTCAGTGACTTTCAACGTGGCACCGTTATAGGATGCCACCTTTCCAACAAGTTAGTTAGTCAAATTTCTGCCTTGCTAGAGCTGCCCCGGTCAACTGTAAGTGCTGTTATTGTGAAGTGGAAACGTCTAGGAGCAATAACGGCTCAGCCACCACACAAGCTCACAGAACGGGACCACCGAGTGTTGAAGCGCAAAGCGTAAAAATTGTCTGTCCTCGGTTGCTACACTAACTACTGAGTTCCGAACTGCCTCTGCAAGCAACATCAGCACAATAACTGTTCGTCGGGAGTTTCATGAAATGGGTTTCCATGGCCGAGCAGCCGCACACAAGCCTAAAATCACCATGCGCAATGCCAAGCGTCGGCTGGAGTGTTGTAAAGCTCGCCACCATTGGACTCTGGAGCAGTGGAAACGCGTTCTCTGGAGTGATGAATCACGCTTTACCATCTCGCAGTCCGACTGACAAATCTGGGTTTGGTGGATGCCAGGAGAACGCTACCTGCCCCAATGCATAGTGCCAGTTGTACAGTTTGGTGGAGGAGGAATATGGTCTGGGGCTGTTTTTCATGGTTCGGGCTAGGCCCCTTAGTTCCAGTGAAGGGAAATCTTAACGCTATAGCATACAATGACATTCTAGATGATTCTGTGTTTCCAACTTTGTGGCAACAGTTTGGGAAGGCCCTTTCCGGTTTCAGTAGGACAATGCCCCAGTGCAAAAGGTTATACAGCTGCACCATCGAGAGCATCCTGACTGGTTGCATCACCACCTGGTATGGCAACTGCTCGGCCTCCGACCGCAAGGCACTACAGAGGGTAGTGCGTATGGCCCAGTACATCACTGGGGCCAAGCTTCCTGCCATCCAGGACCTCTATACCAGGCAGTGTCAGAGGAAGGCCCTAAAAATTGTCAGACTCCAGCCACCCTAGTCATAGACTGTTCTCTCTGCTAACGCATGGCAAGCGGTACTGGAGCGCCAAGTCTAGGTCCAAAAGGCTTCTTAACAGCTTCTCCCTCCAAGCCATAAGACTCCTGAACAGCTAATCATGGCTACCCGGACTATTTGCATTGCCCCCTCACCCCACCCCCCCTCTTTTACGCTGTTGCTACTCTGTTTATTATTTATGCATAGTCACTTTAACTCTACCCACATGTACATATTACCTCGACTAACCGGTACCCCCTGTATATAGCCTCCCTACTGTTATTTTATTTTACTGCTATTTTTAATGTTTTACTTATCTATTTTCTCTACTTAACACTCTTTTTTATTTTCTTAAAAAACTGCATTGTTGGTTAAGGGCTTGTAAGTAAGCATTTCACTGTACCTGTTGTATTTGGCGCATGTGGCAAATACAATTTGATTTGATTTGCACAAAGCGAGGTCCATAAAGAAATGGTTTGTTGAGATCGTTGTGGAATAACTTGGCTGGCCTGCACAGAGCCCTGACCTCAGCCCAATTGAACAACTTTGGGATTAATTGGAACGCCGACTGCGAGCCAGGCCTAATCACCCAACATCAGTGCCCGACCTCACTAATGCTCTTGTGGCTGAATGGAAGCAAGTCCCCGCAGCAATGTTCCAACATCTAGTGGAAAGCCTTCCCAGAAGAGTTGGAGGTTGTTATAGCAGCAAAGGGGGGACCAACTCCATATTAATGCCTATGATTTTGGAATGAGATGTTCGACGAGCAGGTGTCCACATACACACACTATCCCTTTTGTTAGTTGATATGGTTGATATATGTACTGTCTGTCTTTTATGTCAGTCAGTAGCTATGTTTCCATTAACTTGTCCATAGATTTTTTGTGTGTTTATTTAAGTTTTTTTATTTAGAAGCATAGAAAATGGATACAATTGCCTGCTATCGTGCGTTTCCCTTTAACTATTTTGCGTCTATTAAAAACAGCTGGACGTAATGACGTCACATAAAAAATTAAACAATACAGTGTATAATAGAAATTAAGTAGTTGAAGGGTTTCCATTACCCATTTAGGCAAATTGCGCATCAATACATTTGGTGACAGCCTGAATGCTCTCAAACCTCTGTTTCATGTCTCAGGTAGCCCGTGAAAGCCAACATGGATAGAATGCAATAATTGACTAATATTTGACATACTAATAATTCTCATGTGCCAACGTATCACACCGATGATTAACAAATCGCAATTGTGAAACTTGCAGTCCTGTAAATCTGAAATAATTGGATGGTGAAACTTGCATCCAGCCAACCAGAAAAGCATGGTGATGCAATTCTGGCATTTTTGAAAGTCAGGATAATCCATGTCCTGCAAATAAACATTATTTTTAGAGTTGAAAAAATATATTTTGTAAGCAGTAGGCATTTAGAATTAAATGTGGAGTGGAGCGTCAAAATCAAGTGCCACACAACTTAAAAATTATTCGGAAATCATTTATTCGAAAATTCACTGTTTCTATCATGATTTGTCGCAAAAAAAGTTTGACAAATGAAAAATCCACCCTTATTGAACGGATAAAAATATTGTTGATCTTTGGAAAATGTCTCGAATATCTGCCGTTTCCATTACACATGTTATGCATTATATATTTTTTTGCGACACTACTTTTGTCAAATAAACCTGGGTCAATGGAAACCTGTCTACTGACAGTCACTCAATTATCCATGTCAGCTAACAATTTTTAGATTGTTAGTCTAGCCATCTATCTAAACTTGTAGTAATCATGGCAAAATACTGACCGGGCGTGCAGGGCAGTTGAGATTTATTTTATAGAAATAGATCATGCCTCTCCATAAACAAGAGGTTGTACAGGCAACATTCCTGCCAGCTTTTGACTATGCTGACACCAGCCTCTACTCTAAAACCATTGGATGCTGTGTACCATAGCGCGCATCGCTTTATCACGGGTGACAGGTTTAATACTCATCACTACATCCGTTGTCAGAAGGTCGTCTGGACTTCTCTAAATTCCCGTAGATCACTTAAATTCTCCCATTTTGTTTACAAAGCTAAGCTGCACAAGCTTCCAACATATCTCACTTCTCTGTTAAAGTATAAAAATATAAGAGCACCAAACCCGCTCACAGGGTTGGTTAAATCTTGAGGTCCCGTGTCTCTGCCCACCTAGGTAAATCATCCTTTAGTTTTAACGCCCCCCATGTTTGGAATAATTTACAAACCTCATTACATCTTGAATCTCTGGTGCCAATAGGGCAGTTTAGAACACTGATGAGGAATGAATTCACCGACGTTTGCGAGTGGTTGATTGTAATAATGTATTTGTGTTGTTGAAATGTGTATCTGTAACTGCTGTATCTTGTAGGTTCTGTTTTATTGAAATATCATGTTGATTTATGAATTGTTTGTTCTCAGGGCACTATTGAGAATGAGACCAGGGTCTCAATTGGGCTCCGACGGAATGAATGAATGAATAAATAGAAGTTAAATAAAAAAGTTAAACAATCTACTTCCTCAGATGAACTTGTGGATACCATTTTTATGTCTCTTTGTGCAGTTTGAAGAAAGATGCTAACTAGCACTCGCGCAATTGCTAACTAGCGCTACCACAATGACTGGAAGTTATTTTTTTTGTTGGGGGGGTGGTTACAGGTACATTATCCATTTCAAATGATACATTTATGAAACATGTACCCTTAGGCTGCCACTAAAAATAAGAAAAACAGTAAGTAATGCATACAGAAGGAAAATAAAAGTATGTTACATTTACATTTTAGTCATTTAGCAGACGCTCTTATCCAGAGCGACTTACAGTTAGTGAGTGCATACATTATTTTAAAAATGTTCATACTGGCCCCCCGTGGGAAATGGGTCCCAAAGAGTCCAGTAGCTTGTGTAATGGAGGTCAATGACTGCTCGGTTCTCTCTGTCTCTCTGTGTGTGTGTGTGTGTGTGTGTGTGTGTGTGTGTGTACAAATACACCCCCTTAGCCAGGACACATGGGTCTCTACTTATGACTCCCTCTGATAAAGTAATGGGTGGACAGGCTAGGCTAAGTTCAGGACTGTTTCTACCGCTACGGTACATCAGTCAGGGTGTAGGAATGAGGAGATGGAGCAGAAATCCAAATGCTGGGGTTTTATTGCAGACACAGGATTACATGGGGAAAGCTTGCAGGATAATGTTGTTTTTTTCTAGGGAAATACAAGAGTGAGATGTTAACATACAAGCATGACTGACAATTGCAAAAGGGATAAATAACTGAAATGCATCAAACAACTGAGAATATATCTTACATGCTGGACTGACAGGAAATTGTACTACGGAACATGGCAGCAGCATATAAACTTGAACAAACTAAAAGGATCTTACATATTCTTCAATAATGAAAGTTACTCACTTTGTCAGAGTCGTCACTAGCTAACACAGCCACATAAACCCATCTTATTTCTACAATTTCTCTTAAAATCTGATTTTAAACCTAACTTTAACCACAATGCTAACCTTACGCCTAACCATAAATTAAAACCAAAAAGCACATTTTTGTTTTCATGAATTTTTAGGATAGAGCCATTTTTGACTTTGTGGCTGTGTTATCTAGTGGAAACCCCTTGTCAGTCACGCACAACATGGAAAGGAAAACAATTGATGACTGCCCCATGCGCACAACATGGAAAGGAAAACAATTGATGACTGCCCCATGCGCACAACATGGAAAGGAAAACAATTGATGACTGCCCCATGCATTCACCAACAGGAAAAAGGAAAACTGGAGGGGAAAAACGGCTGCTTGAATAGTCAAGAGGTGCTAATGAGCAGTGTGGGAACAGGTGGGGTAAGTGGCAAGGGAGGGGCGTGGCCAGAGATTAGGGGTGATGACATGAGCCTTCACAACAGTTTATACAGTATATGGCTCTTGATATGGTTTATACACTGAGTATATAAAACATTAAGAACACCTGCTCTTTCCATGACAGACTGACCAGGTGAAAGCTATGATTCCTTATTGATGTCACTAGTTAAATCCACTTCAATCAGTGTAGATCATGGTTTCCCAAACTTCGTCCAAGGGGGTGCACATTTAGATTTTTGCCCTAGCACTACACAGCTGATTCAACTAATCAAGCTTTGATAATTTGAATTAGTTGTGTAGTGTTAGGGCAAAAACCAAAACGTGCACCCCTTGTAGTCCCAAGGACCGAGTTTGGGTGTTGTAGATGAAGGGGAGGAGACAGGTTAAAAACCCCTAGAGTCGATGTCCACGCCCCCACGGAAATCTAATTAGCATAATAATAAAAAAAAACATAAATCTGTCAGTTTAAGCTAGATATATCTGTTTATTTGCATTGGGTGTGTTTCAATCCACTACATTGAGACGCACCCCTGATTATATAGCCTCATTATTGATATTTTATTGTAACTTTTTATTTTAGTAAATATTTTCTTAACTCTATTTCTTGAACTGCATTGTTAAGGGCTTGTAAGTAAGCATTTCACGGTAAGGTTGTTTGGCGCATACCTGTTGTATTTGGCGCATGTGACAAATACAATTTGATTTAATCCAACGATGTCTCACTTCCGCATCTGGGGTGAAAGGTGACAGAGCTAGAGTGGTGTTTGTCAGACCATGAGACATCCCGAAAATCGGTCTTCTCACAAACTCGTCTGTAGCGTCCGAACGGTTTGGCCTACAAACTATTATGACCCATCTATGGAAAGATGAGACTCTCACGAACACAATGTTGTTCTCCGTCACGGGACTCGTCTGAAGTCAGTACAGCTGATCTGCCAACTTCTGTCTGTAGCGTCCGGACAGTTTGGTCTACACACTAATATGATATACACGTTTTGCTCTAGGACACCCGCAGGCCTCACAAGACTCGTCTGAAAGTCCCCCGGTACCAGTTGAAAAAATTTATGGAAGTATATATGGAGACTGTTTAGTGCCAGAGGTAAAGGGTTAAATACATCAAACAAACAAACAATAAATATATACACTGCTCAAAAAAATTAAGGGAACACTAAAATAACACATCCTAGATCTGAATGAATGAAATAATCTTATTAAATACTTTTTTCTTTACCTAGTTGAATGTGCTGACAACAAAATCACACAAAAATTATCAATGGAAATCAAATTTATCAACCCATGGAGGTCTGGATTTGGAGTCACCCTCAAAATTAAAGTGGAAAACCACACTACGGGCTGATCCAACTTTGATGTAATGTCCTTAAAACAAGTCAAAATGAGGCTCAGTAGTGTGTGTGGCCTCCACGTGCCTGTATGACCTCCCTACAACGCCTGGGCATGCTCCTGATGAGGTGGCGGATGGTCTCCTGAGGGATCTCCTCCCAGACCTGGACTAAAGCATCCACCAACTCCTGGATAGTCTGTGGTGCAACGTGGCGTTGGTGGATGGAGCGAGACATGATGTCCCAGATGTGCTCAATTGGATTCAGGTCTGGGGAACGGGCGGGCCAGTCCATAGCATCAATGCCTTCCTCTTGCAGGAACTGCTGACACACTCCAGCCACATGAGGTCTAGCATTGTCTTGCATTAGGAGGAACCCAGGGCCAACCGCACCAGCATATGGTCTCACAAGGGGTCTGAGGATCTCATCTCGGTACCTAATGGCAGTCAGGCTACCTCTGGCGAGCACATGGAGGGCTGTGCGGCCCCCCAAAGAAATGCCACCCCACACCATGACTGACCCACCGCCAAACCGGTCATGCTGGAGGATGTTGCAGGCAGCAGAACGTTCTCCACGGCGTCTCCAGACTCTGTCACGTCTGTCACATGTGCTCAGTGTGAACCTGCTTTCATCTGTGAAGAGCACAGGGCGCCAGTGGCGAATTTGCCAATCTTGGTGTTCTCTGGCAAATGCCAAACGTCCTGCACGGTGTTGGGCTGTAAGCACAACCCCCACCTGTGGACGTCGGGCCCTCATACCACCCTCATGGAGTCTGTTTCTGACCGTTTGAGCAGACACATGCACATTTGTGGCCTGCTGGAGGTCATTTTGCAGGGCTCTGGCAGTGCTCCCCCTGCTCCTCCTTGCACAAAGGCGGAGGTAGCAGTCCTGCTGCTGGGTTGTTGCCCTCCTACGGCCTCCTCCACGTCTCCTGATGTACTGGTCTGTCTCCTGGTAGAGCCTCCATGCTCTGGACACTACGCTGACAGACACAGCAAACCTTCTTGCCACAGCTCGCATTGATGTGCCATCCTGGATGAGCTGCACTACCTGAGCCACTTGTGTGGGTTGTAGACTCCATCTCATGCTACCACTAGAGTGAAAGCACTGCCAGCATTCAAAAGTGACCAAAACATCAGCCAGGAAGCATAGGAACTGAGAAGTGGTCTGTGGTCACCACCTACAAAACCAGTCCTTTATTGGGGGTGTCTTGCTAATTGCCTATAATTTCCACCTGTTGTCTATTCCATTTGCACAACAGCATGTTACATTTATTGTCAATTAGTGTTGCTTCCTAAGTGGACAGTTTGATTTCACAGAAGTGTGATTGACTTGGAGTTACATTGTGTTGTTTAAGTGTTCCCTTAATTTTTTTGAGCAGTGTATATATATATATATATATACATACCTAAATTCGGAAAGTATTCAGACTTGACTTTTTCCACATTTTGTTATGTTACAGCCTTATTCTAAAATTGATTAAATAATTTTTTTCTCATCAATCTACACACAATACCCCATAATGACAAAGCAAAAACAGGTTTTTAGAATTTTGTGCAAATTTATTAAATATAAAAAAACAACACTTTGCTATTAGACTCAAAATTGAACATCCTGTTTCCATTGATCATCCTTGATGTTTCTACAACTTGACTGGAGTCCACCTGTGGTAAATTAAATTGATTGGACATTATTTGGAAAGGCTCACACCTGTCTGTATAAGGTCCCACAGTTGACAGTGCATCTCAGAGCAAAAACCAAGCCATGAGGTTGAAGGAATTGTCCGTAGAGCTCCGAGACAGGATTGTGTTGAGGCACAGATCTGGGGAAGGGTACCAAAACATTTCTGCAGCATTGAAGGTTAAATGGAAGAAGTTAAATGGAAGAGCTGGCCACCAGGCCAAACTGAGCAATCGGGGGAGAAGGGCCTTGGTCAGGGAGGTGACCAAGAACCCGATGGTCACTCTGACAGAGCTCCAGAGTTCCTCTGTGGAGTTGGGGGAACCTTCCAGAAGGACAACCATCTCTACAGCACTCCACCATTCAGGCCTTTATGGTAGAGTGGCCAGATGGAAGCCACTCCTTAGTAAAAGGCACATGACAGCCCGCTTGGAGTTTGCCAGAAGGCACCTAAAGACTCTCAGAACATGAGAAACAACATTCTCTGGTCTGATGAAACCAAGATTGAACTCTTTGGCCTGAATGCCAAGCATCGCGTCTGGAGGAAACATGGCACCATCCCTACAGTGAAGCATGGTGGTGGCAGCATCATGCTGTGTGGATGTTTTTCAGCGGCAGGGACTGGGAGACTAGTCAGGATCGAGGGAAAGATGAGCGAAGCGAAGTACAGAGAGATCCTTGATGAAAACCTGCTCCAGAGCGCTCAGGACCTCAGACTGGGGCGAAGGTTCACCTTCCAACAGGACAACGACCCTAAGCACACAGCCAAGACAATGCAAGAGTGGCTTTGGGACAAGTCTCTCAATGTCCTTGAGTGGCCCAGCCAGAGTCCGGACTTGAACCCGATCTAACATCTCTGGAGAGACCTGAAAGTAGCTGTGCAGCGATGCTCCCCATCCAACCTTATGTAAATGTAATATTTCAGTTTTTTTTGTTTTGTAAATTAGCTAAAATTTCTAAAAAACTGTTTTTGCTTTGTCATCATGGGGTATTGTGTGTAGATTGAGGGGGAAAAAACAATTTCATTAATTTTAGAAAAAGGCTGTAAAATGTCAAGGGGTCTGAATACTTTCCGAATGCACTGTATTATGGATTAAATAATTATTTAAAATTCAGACATGGATTGTGTACGTGTGCCATTGAAGGTGAATGGGCAAGACAAAATATTTAAGTGCCTTTGAACGGGGTATGGTAGTAGGTGCCAGGCGCAACAGTTTATGTCAAGAACTGCAGCGCTGCTGGGTTTTTCACACTCGTGTTTATCAAGAATGGTCCACCACCCAAAGGACATCCAGCCAACTTGACACAACTGTGGGAAGCATTGTAGTCAACATGGGCCCGTATCCCTGTGGAACGCTTTCGACACCTTGTAGAGTCCATGCCCCGACAAATTGAGGCTGTTCTGAGGGCAAAAGCGGGATTCATCTCAATATTAGGAAGGTGTTCTTAATGTTTTGTACACTCTGTGTATATGGCTGACTGTCTGATTTTAATGTGTTTTGTGTAGATTCAGCGGTGTCATACAAGCAATTGAAGACCTTGTTTCCCAGCAGCAGTATTCAACTGTTTGATGTCCGCAATCCGGATGAGTTTGAGGCTGGACATATTCCTGGCTCCACCAATGTCCCACGTGAGTAACACACACAGACACACAGCGCACACACTTATTTTGATATGTTGTTTGAAACATTCCCAGAGCAGCACCGTGCACACATTTTCTCTGTCATGTTTTGTGTTTGTTTGATATGTATTTTCTTTTGTTATGATTCATGTTGTCATGTCCTTTTTAAACTGCTGTAAACCAATTTTCCCATTGTGGGGCAATAAAGTGAAATACAAATACCACTACTAACAGTTGGGGAACTCCAGGAGGCGCTGAGGCTGAGCCCGGACCAGTTCAAACAGAGGTTTGGAGTACAAGCCCCTCATAAGGAGGATAGCAGCATTGTGGTCTACTGCCAGAGGGGTAGACGGAGTGCTACTGCCCTTGACATAATGTGGGCTCTGGGTTTCAGCAGGTGAAGACCATTTACAATCACCCTTTTAAGCTGCTAGCATCCTAACCTGAGCGACGTACCCACACAGATCAGTTGATACTACACATCTGTGCTCCTCTCCTTCTCTTCCTTCTCTCCTAGAGCTCGTCACTATGCTGGAGGATACAGTGACTGGGTCCAGAATGAAGAGCAGTGAGGTGTTTCAAGCGCTGCAGGGCCATTCTGTGTGTTTGAATTCTGCTTATTGGAACAAAATATATTTAGGAAGCATAGCCATTAAATCCTTACTTCAGAGTAGGGGAAATGCTACACTGGAAATGACAACTCAATGATGGTCTTATTTCATAGTAATTGATTGACGAAATGGTTGCGTAAATTGTCCCAAACCAAATAAAGGTCAGGTGTGTGAATGTTACTGCTTTTGTGTCAGTGAGTGTGTGTATATACTGTATATTTTGTCTTTTATGAATGCATGTCTGTTTGTTTGTCTTTTATTCAGTGTGTATGAGAGTGCAGTATTCTCGATCTCTTCCCCTAGGCAGAGGAGGCACTAGGCGGAATTCGGGGGAGGTGAAGCACTGTGACCGAGAAGTAATCCATGTCCCCGTCCTCCTCTCAGTTACTCCTCGGTGGTGGGGGAGCTTGGGCCTGGCTGTTCTGGAGGGTGGAGGGGTTGTTTTGTTGAAGCCCCCGTTGATGAACTGCCACGTGCACAGGGTCCTGCACTGGTCTTCTACACCTCTGTGAATATAGGAATGTGCCATTAAACACTTGGAGGGAAATGGGGTTGCATAGCAGCTTGGCATCACAAGATGCATCAATTGCAGCCACCATGCTACACTGCAGTCCCGATTATAGCCACCTGAGGGCATTAGAGAATTTCATCTCTAGACCTCAGAACCAGGCCCAAATATAGCTATGAAGTGAGTGAGCTGTTATGGTAAGATTTGTGGGTCTCACCTTACAGAGCACCAGTGCCGTTATGGTCCCTCCCAGCACCAGCACCAGCACTCCCAGAATCACACTCGCAATGGACACAATCATTATGAGAGGAGGTTCACTGGCTGACAAAACAGAGGGAGCTCATTAGAAATGTGTATTACAATAGCTGAGGTGTACACTCTTAGAAAAAAAGGTTATTCGGCTGTCCCCATAGGAGAACCCTTTTTGGTTCCAGGTAGAACAATTTTGGGTTCCATGTAGAACTCTATGTGGAAAGGGTTTTACATTGAACCCTAAAGGGTTCTACCTAGAACCAAAAAGGGTTCTTCAAAGGGTTCTCCTATGGGGACAGACAAAGAACCCTTTTAGGTTCTAGATAGCACCTTTTTTTGTGTAGGTTAGGTTAGCGTGAGAGTTCCTATGCTTCTATGTCAGAACAACTTGGCGTAGCAGAAAAGGGTGTGTAGTGCATGCTAGCCTGGTTTGGAGCTTGGTGAAAGTGGGCAGTACCTGTTTGTGTGTCCAAATAAAGGTGCCCCTCCAGAGTCCCATGCGGGAAAGTTGTGAGAGAACAGCAGTACGGCCCAGCATCATCCTTCTGAATCTCTATTAACGTGTATCCATGCATCGTCACAGCAGAGACACGGTCGATATAATCCTTCTCCACGACAACTGGGTAGTTTGTGTTAGAAACCAGAATCCTACGGCCATTGCACCCGCCAATCCTCCACTCAATCTGGGACACCCCCCCCCCCCTTCTCCAGACAGCTCACAGGACAGTGTCACAGCATAACCAATCTTTGCTGTGATGTTACCAGAAGTTCTCACCCGGTCTGCAAAATAACCTTGAGGGGATGGATGTGTGGAGTTTAAATGACCGCTGTAGGTTATGACAATCTTTTTGGATGATCTTATTGTGTTGAATGATCTTACACCAACATTTAGACATCGACACACGTTTCTAACTCTATCCTCATGAAAGATTTGATGTCATTTTTTTGTTCAAGTGGAATATTGAAAATGTTCCTGTTATTTCAGCTCTGTTTGACAATAGTTTGTTCCTAATTGCTGTGCATACTGCTGTTTGTACTACACAGTGACCCTGTTGATAATCAGTACTGGATTTCCTCAGTCTTTAGTTTGTTATTCATTATTAATTTCTATGTCCTCTCCCATTCTTTATAGAATTATAGCCAATATACTAATTAGCTCACAAACTTAAGCATATTCATACAATATAGAAACAGAATATACAGTGTACCTTCTTATAACATAACGTCTAATAACACATTTATCAACACAGTCTCTCCAGTTGGAATGTGGGTCTCTTACCAGGGCAGAGGAGTAGGACGACCAGTGGTGCTGTGGACCAGCAGTGGACAAGCAGAAACTTGTTAGTAATGACACTCATGATCTGATATACATCAATGTTGGGGTGGATTGAGAACATCTCTGAACAATATGCACTGACAGGAAATTACAGATTAAACGCCGAAGATTAAGAAGGGGAGGATTTAAAACCAACAAGAAACCACAGAAGGTACCCCAGGAAATAAGATTTTGAGTGGGTTTATGAGAGGGACAGAGCATGTGCATATCTTCAACAGTAACCAAGTTTGGCCCTCATTCTGTAGGTTTGTTGCGGTTATGATACAGATGAGGCCCCCTGAGCTCTCTAGACACTTCCTGTAAACACAGAAACCCTGGTCTACTTGCATAAAGGTTTTTATGGCCCCCCTAACCAGCATTGTCTCTCACTTTTATCAGTTGGATTTGATTTATTGGCATGATAAACAAACAAGATACAAAGGAAAATTAGTCTTATACAGTGAAAAGGATAGTTGAAATATAAGTAATGTACTGTACATTCAAACATAATAATAGCAATGTAACTACAAAGAGTATGTGGGTGTGGGTGAGAGGATGTGTGTCATGTCTGTCAAAACATGCACAGCTTTCTTCCCTTTGAAGTATTCTTCGCCTGTGTGACCTTATGGTCAGGCGCACTCTAAATGTCAATACGTAGTTTACAGTTTCATAAACATGTTCTCTAAGTCATGCATGTCCATTCATCTATTGCTATTTAGTCTGCCATAGTTAAGAATCTTCACATCATTTTGGAAAATGATAGCCAGCAAAATCAAACAGATATTTGTCAGAGGTTAAAACCTCAATAAATACCAAGAGCAGCCCTTTATATTTACACCATGTCATAACTAATACTAAGAGTGTCGTATCCATGACAACCTAGAGGAACATAGTTATTTTCTCTACCTGTGTTTGGAATATAGAGGTCTATTTAACAATTTAAAACGAACATCTCTGAGTTGCAATACGTTTGCGTGCCCAAAGGGCAGTTGAGAGTTCACCAGCATGGTTGAGGAAAGGCGTTTCCAGTTGAAACCCAGCAGTGTTGAACTGGTTGGGCATAGTGGCATGGTGTTAAGCCAAGGCTAAACCAAGTCAGTGAGGGCGGAGGCATGTCTATCTGCAGGCTCTCCCATGGTCAGGAATTCAGCCCAGTTCTGCCAGAAGCCACGTGAGTAGACCCCTGTATCTACAACGAGGCCACGCAGATGACTCTGGTCATTTTTCTTCCGCAGAGCAAGTTGTGCCTCCCGCTCTGTCACATTGTAGCTGATATTGATAATTTGCAGCACCAGCAGGTGCAGCAGGCCTCCTGTGACAATACTGCTGTACCAGGCACAGGTGAAGCACAGGGCTGAGCTGTAAAGACATCTGCATAGTTACACTTTGAAAACAACATAACACTTTATTTTTCAGTTGATTTTAGTTCAACTAAATATTTATTTCAAGTAACTCAAAACAGTTGGTAACTAGCCACAAAAGTCAGTTCAACGTCTAGTTTTGATTTCTATTTGGTTGAGTTGTCAACTGACGTGAATTCAATGTGAAATCAACAAATAATGTCACCATGTCATTTAGGTTAAAAGTTGGGTAAAAGAAAAGAAGAAATGCCCTTACATTGATGACTTTTTGAAAATCCAATCAGTTTTCACATAGATCTTTTTGGTTGAAATGCCGTGAAAACAACATTGATTCAACCAGTTTTTGCCCAATGGGTACCTGGTGCCTAATAGTAGGCAATAAAGTGGTGCTTGTTTCAATGAATCCCAAATAAAACCAAATAAATCATGAATTGTCATTTTGTAACTCATTTGTTTGTGTGTGCAATTTTTAAGCAAATCCCAGGTACCATAGTGTACCTGTACTGATTGTAGACGCCAGGGCAGTAGAGTAGCGCAGTGAGCAGGTTCTGTCGGGGACACACGCTCCGCAGCACCAGACTGATCCCATACAGAGAGGTCAACAGGAAGAGGAGCAGGGTCAGCAGGAAGTTGCGATGATTGGCCTTGCCGACACAGCTGTTTATCCTGCCTCCGCAGTGACAGACACGACACACACACACAGACAATACACCCTCAGTTCAAATAACCAACTTATGCTGTGGTTGCATGTGAGAGCACAATTAGTTTGAATGTGAGATAATGAGTACATACTCTGTGTCTGGTTGTGTAAATGCCATAAGTGACAGATTGTCCTGGTTTGAGGTCGCCTCACCCTGCTGAAGGGTGAACCCCTGTGGGCCCTGCACATGTCTCTACAGCCTGGTCTTCTTGGCCTGACAATGTGACACTTAATGAGATCATGATCGTGTGGAAGAGTATTGTTGAGTGGATATACTGTAAGTGTGAGGGTCTTAGAGATTAAGATATTGTGTGTTTGTATAGTAGGGGAATGTAGGCAGATATGATAAGGATGTAGTCATCTTTGTGTTGCAGAAAGGTATTTTTTGTATAAGTCGTCCTGTCGTTGCACAAATAATGGCATAATAATACTCAATTCCTCCACAACTGACAAAGACGTTTAATGAAACCCACCAGATACAGTGGTGGTCCAGGCGCTGGACACAGCCTCCACAGATCCGGCAATGTCCCGCCCGCGGGGGACGCACCACTCTGCACAGAGGACAATTGCCCCCCTTTGCTGTCAGGGACTGTGTCTGCTGTTCCACTGGTTTGGCTGGGGGTGCTGGCACTATCGACTGGTCCACTCCATTCTGAGAGGCAGAGTGTTTGTCAGGCAGTTGGTTTTGATTGGTGCTGTGTGTGTCAGCCAGGGAAGGCTGCACGAAGCCTGGCCCCCTCTTGGTGCGCACAAGGGAGATAAGTGTGAGAACCACACCCGTTGTCACGGTCACAAGCTGCAGGTGACTTACATCCCCACGAGGTAGGATCTCTGTGACAAAGAGGAAGTACATGTAGGCTAGGGAGAAGAGCGCCAGGCTGAGGAAGAAGAGGGTGCGGCCCTTATTCCGGTGTGTGGCGTAGTAGTACCACAGCACCAGGCCAGGCAGGGCTGTCATAATGACTAAGCCCAACAGGAAGTGCAGGGCTGCCAGCCGCAGCAGCAGAGGAAGCAGCACTAGAGCTGGGATCATGGAGAGCTCCACCCGCCTGTCCCCTGATAACAGTCTCACCCTCAGCCGGTCCATCACTGCGCCAAACACAGGCAACACACAGTCAGGTTTCTGAGGCTCTCCCTTTAGCCACCTGGAAAAGACATGAGGTTAGGGATGACAGAGAGGGAAACACAGAGAGGGTAGGGGGTTAGACCTGAACTTGGACTGTTGAGTCCTGCCATGATCCTCCTCCTCATTCCACCCCCTCACCTGTTGCAAGCTTCATCCAGATCCTCACAGTCACAGCAGCATCCATGTTGGTCTACATCACACTCACAACAGCACATGGGATCATCTGGCTCTGGAGGCTTTAACTTCTCCCATTTCATTCTGACTGTTCACGGATCCACTTGAAGGTCCTGTACAAAATAACTGCAACAGTAAAGAGACATAGTCAAACCACATGATAACTATTAATAGCTGTTCTTTGGGTGTGGTAAGGGTGTGTGGAGAGTAGTCTTCATTCAGTGAAGTGGTTCAGTAATACGGACTGTGTTGGAAATCTTATTCCACCACTGAGGTTAAGGTTATACAACATCTTAGGCTTGCAACAGTTGCCTGCTTTATGTAAAGCTAGCTTGTTGCTCTAGTAGTTTGTGCGGTTGGGGGATCCCTTTCTCAAATCCGGCCCTCAAGGTGTGCAGGACTGACTGGCACACCAGATGAAGGGTATGTCTGGTGCCAATAATCAATCAGTTAACCAGCAGGGAGAGAAAAACCTTGAAAATCACATTTGACTTGAGTACTCTCTTAGACAGTCTTCTTAATGGAGTTGTATTGGCGTCCCACAGACAGTTCTTCATCATAATGAAGACATTAAGGTTAAGCTATCTGAAAGGTCTTCATTACTTGCATTAACACACTCACATTGACAGTACGGGTGTACACACACACACACACACACACACACAAACATTTTACTAGCCTTACCAACTAGGGATAGGCCTAGTAGACCAACATCTGCCTCATGAAAGTGACAAGAGGTTTGGGCCTCCCGAGAGGCGCAGTGGTCTAAGGCACTGCATCGCAGTGCTAGCTGTGCCACTAGAGAGTCGAGGCTCTGTCGCGACCGGGAGACCCATGGGCCGCGCACAATTGGCCCAGCGTCGTCCAGGATAGGGGAGGGTTTGGGCGGCAGGGATGTTCTTGTCCCATCGCGCACTAGCGACTCCTGTGGCGGGCCGGGCGCAATGTACGCTGACTTGGTCGCCAGGTGTACTGTGTTTCCTCCGACACATTGGTGCGGCTGGCTTCCAGGTTAAGCAGGCACTGTGTCAAGAGGCAGTGCGGCTTGGTTGGGTTGTGTTTCGGAGGACGCATGACTCTCGACCTTCGCCTCTCCTGTGTCCGTACGGGAGTTGCAGCGGTGGGACAAGACTGTAACTACCAATTGGATACCACGAAAAAGGGGGTAAAATACCAACAAATAAAAAAAGAAAGTGACAAGAGGTTTAATAAATGTATATTTTAGGTCGTAAATGGAATCAATTAAAATTGCTTTTGATTTTAACAAGTTTTACAATGCAATTACTTTCCTCTAATATAAATGTGGCTTTTAGAAATAAGGCCACCATGTACCTAGGGAAGACATATCTGGGCCAACTAAACCTGGGTCCCCAAGCACGCCTATCATATGGTGAGATGGAATTTGCATTGTTGGAGTGACTGCCAATGTTGGCTTTGTCATCTGACATACTACTTCAAATATAGCCCAGCTCTTCAACAGTCTAAATATTGACTACCTACAATATCTCATTTTTTTACTTAAAATAACTGTAGACTATAGTCACATTCTAAAGGGAAAGCTGAACAAAAATGAATATATTTTTTATCAACAAAATATGACAAATCAATGTTTCAATGCAATATTCTAAAGGAATGTGATACTGCCTACAAATAAACAGATAACCTTAACCCTTTAACCTGACTCCTAAACATAACCCTAACCTTAACCCTAATCCCTAACCCCTAGCCTAGTTAACTTTAGCCAGCAAGCTAATGTTAGCCACCTAACCACCTAGCTAGAATTCGTAACATATCATACGTTTTGCAACTACTTACTACATTTTAGCTACTTTGCAACTACTTAGCATGGTAGCTAACCCTAACCCATTAAGATAACTCCTAACCCTAACCTTAACCCTAACCTTAACCCCTAACCTAATGTAGCATATCATACTAAAGCAGTCAAACGTAATATATCATACTAAAGCAGTCGAATGTAATATATCATACTAAAGCAGTGAAATGTAATATATCATACTAAATCAGTTGAACATAGCATATCATACTAAAGCAGTGGAACATAATATATCATACTAAATGATCAAGATGTAGGATAATATACGTCCTACAATTCGTATTATATTGTATGACCACTATTACATTGGTAGGCCAATGTAATGTAACCTAACGTAAAGTAACATATTGTAATGAAACAGGCAGGGAGTGCCGCTTGAACACTCAACCTTCTGGCCCGAAACCCAGCGTGCCATCGACTGTGCCACAAAAGCATGCTCATGTGGCACAGTCGATATCTGCGCTTATAATCCAGGGTCGCTACAATATCATACTAAATTGAGTGACACGGATTTTAGTAAAACATAATATGTTTTGCTCTGAGACCAGGTTGAAAATGGTGTGCATCTAATTTACCTTTTGAGAAGAAAAAAATTAGCATAGTCTACATTTACCTGTACTGTAGGTTTTTCGGCAGAAAGCACCTTTCCCTCGAAGACTAGGCTAAAGACCCTTGTTATACGATTTCTTATGTCATGTATGTTTTTCATGTAATATATTTCATACTTTCCCTGTCAAACAGGAGATCCGTATCATCACACTAGAATAAACTTCGGTCCGAACTAATTACGTGGCAGCAAATTCCAGGTACCAGGGTACCCGGCAAGCGTTGGCATGTGTGATATCCCTTTCAGTCAAAAACGTTTTATCCTTTAATAGCCTGTAATCCAGCAGTTTTGGGTGAAGAGCTTGATTATCTTCTATTCCTCTTCATTTCGTTGGGAAAGCAACGTCGGTCATTGAAGAGGAAATTGGCATGCCTTGCAGTGGCAGCCAGCGACAGCGTGTGGCAGCGTTTGGAGGTTGTATGCATTTCGCGGATTCTCAGGAGGACAGTGTCACCACTGAAGGGGCAACATAATTTGAATCGATCTTTTAAATGTTCTGATGTAACAGAAGGCTAAACGCTATGTTGGTCATTAACTAAATGTACTTGTTTCTCACCACATACCCCTAGCTTCACTTAGTGCTGCACATGGCTGAGGCTGATCGTCCTGTCAAAGTCAATGTTCTGCACCTGAGACGTTGAATAGCTTGCTTATCGATCAATTATCACAACCTGGTCTCAGAGAATTTCGTATTATTCTGTATGTAAATCCGAGACGCTTCATTTAGTATGAAACTTATGTTTTATATGGTATGTATTAATTTGTGGATGTCCATCACTCATTTCGTATGATATGTTACGAATTACAATTCGTATTATATGTTTTTTTTAAAATGCTAAACGTACAATATGTTACGAGTTTTCTAAATGTATAATGTTACGAATTTGCAAAACATATAATATGTTACGAATTCTAGCTAGGCGGTTAGGTGGCTAACGTTAGCTAGCTGGCTAAAGTTAGGGTTAAGTTAAAGGGTTAAGGTTAGGGTTAGGGGAAGGGTTATCTTAAAGGGTTAAGGTTAGGGTTAGGTGAAGGGTTAGCTAACATGCTAAGTAGTTGAAATGTTGCTAATTAGCTAAAATGCTAAAGTTGTCCTTGATGAGATTCAAATCATAACCTTTGGGTTGCTAAACATTCGCGTTATACACCCACCCATCCACCCCGATCAACCACCATCTGCATGGCCAGGCACGACTCCAACACCATCATTACGTTTGCCGACGACACAACAGTGGTAGGCCTGATCACCGACAACGATGAGACAGCCTATAGGGAGGAGGTCAGAGATCTGGCCGTGTGGTGCCAGGACAACAACCTCTCCCTCAACGTGACCAAGACAAAGGAGATGATTGTGGACTACAGGAAAAAAAAGAGGACTGAGCACGCCCCCATTCTCATCGACGGGGCTGTAGTGGAACAGGTTGAGAGCTTCAAGTTCCTTGGTGTCCACATCACCAACGAACTATCATGGTCCAAACACACCAAGACAGTCGTGAAGAGGGCACGACAAAGGCTATTCCCCCTCAGGAGACTAAAAAGATTTGGCATGGGTCCTCAGATCCTCAAAAAATTCTACAGCTGCACCATCGAGAGCATCCTGACTGGTTGCATCACCGCCTGGTATGGCAACTGCTTGGCCTCTGACCGCAAGGCACTACAGAGGGTAGTGCGTACGGCCCAGTACATCACTGGGGCAAAGCTCCCTGCCATTCAGGACCTCTATACCAGGCGGTGTCAGAGGAAGGCCCTCAAAATTGTCAAAGACTCCAGCCACCCTAGTCATAGACTGTTCTCTCTGCTACCGCACGGCAAGCGGTACCGGAGTGCCAAGTCTAGGTCCAAAAGACTTCTCAACAGCTTCTACCCCCAAGCCATAAGACTCCTGAACAGCTAATCGTGGCTACCCTGACTATTTGCACTGCCCCCCCACCCCATCCTTTTTACGCTGCTGCTACTCTGTTAAGTATTTATGCATAGTCACTTTAACTCTACCCACATGTACATATTACCTCAACTACCTCAACTAGCCGGTGCCCCCGCACATTGACTCTGCAACGGTACCCCCCTGTATATATAGCCTCCCTACTGTCACTTTATTTTACTGTATATATAGCCTCCCTACTGTCACTTTATTTTACTTCTGCTCTTTTTTTCTCAACACTTTTTTTGTTGTTGTTTTATTCTTACTTTTTTTGTTTAAAATAAATGCACTGTTGGTTAAGGGCTGTAAGTAAGCATTTCACTGTAATGTCTGCACCTGTTGTATTCGGCGCATGTGACCAATAAAATTTGATTTGATTTGATCTGTCTTATGTAACCATACCAAACGTGACATATAATACTAATTTGAGACCAGGCTGTTTATCAAAGTCTCTATAGAAAGACATGGTATTAGACTATACTGAAATTGCCTTAATTGAGCATAGACCTCACTTAATTGAGAATAGACCTCACCCCTGATATTACGCTACCATCACCCTGTGTTGCCATGTGTTATAGGTCAACCACCCTTCTCTAACCCTTGCTTTAATGACCTTTAAAGTTACTCTGATACCATTTTGGTTTTACTGCTGCCAAATTGTTGGCTTGGTAAGCTTGTGTGCTGTTTTGTTTTGCTGCCACCTTTGCCTGATGCAGCTGTAGCTGCATGGAGAGTGTGGGTATTGTTGACCATTTCCATGGATGATAATACTGAGGTGTTAAAAAGACCAACAACAGCCCTGATAATCTACACTGTTGAGTGGGGGTTAGTGGGGGAGAAAGACAGATGATATGCAGTCATGCAAAAGGAGGGAGTGGGAAGATCCGTGGTACAGCCCCACCCTTTGGCATCATATTTCCTTCAGCCAGCAACATGACCCGTCCACCCCCCTCCCCCGTCCCCTCCACTCACAGAGAACGCTCTAGAAGAGTCAAGCGTGTGTCTGATGGGAAGCAGGAGTCCAACTCTATGTTTATCTATGCCCTGTTCATGTTTGTATAGGTACAGTAATAAAGCAGTGCTTTCTAATGTAAATGGTCTGACACATACAGAGATGGTGGGTGAGCTGAACGTTATACTCAAATGAAATAAAATGATAATTGACTTTTGACAAATAAAAATGTGCATATTCAGAGCTGACTAATTATAACTCAGACCTAAATGAGGTATCTGAGTGAACCAAGCCCTAGTTTCGTAACAATGAGCAGCCAACAACCAAAACAGACATTGTATACCGACAGACAATTGTGAGTGCAACTCACAATGTACACAAACAATTGAAAAAACAAAACAATTATGTCATTTGTACCAGTTTACATGGATTTTCATTATAGGGTTATGCAAAAACATTATAGTCATTGACGTGAAATAGAATGTCAAAAGTGTGCTTATTTAGATTTCACTATAGGCACTATAGGCTACTATAGATTTCACTATAGGCTACTATAGATTTCACTTGTGAAAGAAAGACCCAATTATCACACAATAGACATGGATGTATGCACGTGCACACACACACACACACACACACACACACACACACACACATTACAGGTTAATCAAATCACATACATTGAGGGAAAAAAGTATTTGATCCCCTGCTGATTTTGTACGTTTGCCCACTGACAAAGAAATGATCAGTCTATAATTTTAATGGTAGGTTTATTTGAACAGTGAGATACAGAATAACAACAAAAAAGTCCAGAAAAACGCATGTCAAAAATGTTATAAATTGATTTGCATTTTAATGAGGGAAATAAGTATTTGACCCCTCTGCAAAACATGACTTAGTACTTGGTGGAAAAACCCTTGTTGGCAATCACAGAGGTCAGACGTTTCTTGTAGTTGGCCACCAGGTTTGCACACATCTCAGGAGGGATTTTGTCCCACTCCTCTTTGCAGATCTTCTCCAAGTCATTAAGGTTTCGAGGCTGACTTTTGGCAACTCGAACCTTCAGCTCCCTCCACAGATTTTCTATAGGATTAAGGTCTGGAGACTGGCTAGGCCACTCGAGGACCTTAATGTGCTTCTTCTTGAGCCACTCCTTTGTTGCCTTGGCCGTGTGTTTTGGGTCATTTTCATGCTGGAATACCCATCCATGACCCATTTTCAATGCCCTGGCTGAGGGAAGGAGGTTCTCACCCAAGATTTGACGGTACATGGCCCCGTCCATCGTCCCTTTGATGCGGTGAGGTTGTCCTGTCCCCTTAGCAGAAAAACACCCCCAAAGCATAATGTTTCAACCTCCATGTTTGACGGTGGGGATGGTGTTCTTGGGGTCATAGGCAGCATTCCTCCTCCTCCAAACACGGCGAGTTGAGTTGATGCCAAAGAGCTCGATTTTGGTCTCATCTGACCACAACACTTTCACCCAGTTCTTCTCTGAATCATTCAGACGTTCATTGGCAAACTTCAGATGGGCATGTATATGTGCTTTCTTGAGCAGGGGGACCTTGCGGGCGCTGCAGGATTTCAGTCCTTCACGGCGTAGTGTGTTACCAATTGTTTTCTTGGTGATTATGGTCCCAGCTTCCTTGAGATCATTGACAAGATCCTCCCGTGTAGTTCTGGGCTGATTCCTCACCATTCTCATGATCATTGCAACTCCACGAGGTGAGATCTTGCATGGAGCCCCAGGCCGAGGGAGATTGACAGTCCTTTTGTGTTTCTTCCATTTGCGAATAATCGCACCAACTGTTGTCACCTTCTCACCAAGCTGCTTGGCAATGGTCTTGTAGCCCATTCCAGCCTTGTGTAGGTCTACAATCTTGTCCCTGACATCCTTGGAGAGCTCTTTGGTGTTGGCCATGGTGGAGAGTTTGGAATCTGATTGATTGATTGCTTCTGTGGACAGGGGTCTTTTATACAGGTAACAAGCTGAGATTAGGAGCACTCCCTTTAAGAGTGTGCTCCTAATCTCAGCTCGTTATCTGTATAAAAGACACCTGGGAGCCAGAACTCTTTCTGATTGAGAGGGGGTCAAATACTTATTTCCCTCATTAAAATGCAAATCAATTTATAACATTTTTGACATGCGTTTTTCAGGATTTTGTTGTTGTTATTCTGTCTCTCAGTGTTCAAATAAACCTACCATTAAAATTATAGACTGATCATTTCTTTCATCAGGGGATCAAATACTTTTCCCCCTCACTGTACACATATTTAGCAGATGTTATTGCGGGTGTAGCAAATGCTTGTGTTCCTAGCTCTAACGGTGCAGTAGTATCTAACAATTCACAACAATACACACAAATCTAAAAGTAAAAGAATGGAATTAAGAAATATATAAATATTAGGACGAGCAATGTCTGAGTGGCATTGACTAATATACAGTAGAATAGAATACAGTATATACATATGAAATGAGTAAAGCAGTATGTAAATATTATTAAAGTGACTAGTGTTCCATTATTAAAGTGACCAGTGATTCCATGTCTATGTATATGGGGCAGCAGCCTCTAAGGTGCAGGGTTGAGTAACCGGGTGGTAGCCGGCTAGTGATGGGATATCGGGAGACAGCTGTATCTTCTCTTTACAG